TCCCTAGATTCATCCTGTGGTCATTTCCCCAGTGCCAAAATGCATAATCGGCATCAACATACTTAGTAGCTGGCAGATCCACCACATTGGCTCCTTGACTGGTAGGGTGAGGGCAACTATGGTGGGAAAGGTCAACTGGAAGCCATTAGAGCTGCCTCTAAAAAATAGTAAATCAAGAACTATATCCCATCCCTGGAGGTACTGAGGAGATCAGTGCCACCATCAAGGACTTGAAAGATGTAGAGGTGGTGCTTGCCACCACGTCCCCATTCAATTCTCCCATTTGGCCTATGCAGAAGACAGATGGATCTTGAAGAACGGCAGTGGATTATCATAAGCTTAATCAAGTGGTGACTCTAATTGCAGTTACTATGTCAGATGCGGTTTCATTCCTTGAGAAAATTAACACATCTCCTAGTACCTGGAGTGCAGCCATTGACTTGGCAAATCCTTTTTCTCCATTTCTGTCCAAAGGACCACCAGAAGCAATTTGCCTTCAGTGGGCAAAGACGACAATATACCTTCACTGTCTTACCTCAGGGGTATATCAACTCTCCAGCTTTGTGTCATAATCTTATTCAGAGAGACCTTGATCAGTTTTTGCTCCTGCAAGATATCACACTGGTCCATTATATTGATGGCATTATTCTGATTGGATCAAGTGAGCAAGAAGTAGCAAAAACACTGAACTTATTGGTGAGACATTTGTGTGCCAGAGGATGGAAAATAAATCCGACTACATTCAGGGACCTTCTACCTCAGTAAAATTTCTAGGGGTCCAGTGATGTGGGGCCTGTCAACACATTCCTGTGAAGGCAAAGACTAGTTGCTGCAATTGGCCCTTCCTACAACCAAGAAACAAGCACAACGTCTATGGACCTATTTGGATTTTGGAGGCAACACATTCCTCATTTGGGCGTGTTACTCCAGCCCATTTATCGAGTGTACTGAAAGGCTGCCAGTTTTGAGTGTGGTTCAGAACAGGAGAAGGCTCTGCAACAGGTCCAGGTTATTGGGCAAGATGTTCTGCCACTTGGGCCGTATGACCCAGCAGATTCAATGGTGCTTGAGGTGTGACGGGCAGAGAGGGATGCTGTTAGAGCCTTTGGCAGGACCCCATAGGTGAATCACAGTGGAGGCCTCCAGGATTTTGGAGCAAGGCCCTGTCATCTTTTGCAGGTAACTAATCTCCTTCTGAGAGACAGCTCTTGGTCTGTTAACTGGGCTTTGGTGGAAACTGAACATTTGATTATGGGTCATCAAGTCCCATGTGACCTGAGCTGACTATCATGAACTGGGTGCTTTCTGACCTATTTAGCCATAAAGTAGGTCATGCATCAAATGGAAGTGGTATATATGTGGTTGAGTTCGAGCAGGTGCCGAAGGCACAAGTAATTTACATTAGGAAGTGGCTCAATGGCCATGTCTCCACTCCTGCCACCCTGCATTCTCTTACCCAGCCTGTACTGATGGCCTCATGGGGGGTCCCTATGATCACCTGACAGTGGAACAGATGACTAAGGCCTGGTTCACAGATGGTTCTGCACCATATGGTGGCACCACTGGAAAGTGCATAGCTGCAGCACTACAGCCCCTTTCTAGGACATCCCTGAAAGACACCGGTGAAGGGAAATTTTCCCAGTTGGAAGAACTTTGAGCAGTGCACCTGGTTGTGCACTTTGCTTGGAAGCATAGATGGCCAGATGCACGATTATATATACTTATGGGTTGTAACCAATGGTTTAGATGGATGGTCAAGGACTAGGAAGAATTATGATTGGAAAATTGGTGACAAAGAAATTTGGGGAAGAGATATGTGCATGGACTCTTTGAGTGGTCAAAAACTGCGAAGGTATTTGTATCCCTTGTGAGTGCTCACCAACAGGTAACCTCAGCAGAGGAGGAGATTAATAATCCAGTCGATAGGATGACCCGTTCTGTGGACACCACTCAGCCTCTATCCACAGCCACCCCTGTCATCGCCCAATAGGCTCATGAACAAAGTAGCCATGGTGGCAGTGTTGGAAGTGATGCCTGGGCTCAGCAACATGGACTTCCACTTACCAAGGCTGACCTGACTATGGACATTGCTGAGTGCCCAATTGCCAGCAGATGAGACCAACACTGAGCCCTCGATATGGCACGCCATTCCTTGAAGTGATCACCTAGCTACCTGGTGGCAGGTTGATTATATTGGACCTCTTCCATCATGGAAAGGGAAGAGATTTGTCCTCCCTGGAATAGACATTTACTCCAGATATGGGTTTGCCTATGTTGCACACAATGCTTCTGCCAAGACTACTATCCATGGACTCACAGAATGCCTTATCCACCATCATGGTATTCCACACTAGCACTGCCTCTGACCCAGGCACTCATTTTATGGCTAAAGAAGTGTGGCAGTGGGCTCGTTCTCATGGAACCCATTGGCCTTACCATCTTCCTCACTGTCCTGAAGCAGCTGGATTTACAGAATGGTGGAATGGCCTTTTTAAGTCATAATTACAATCCCAACCAGGTGACAATACTTTGCAGGGCTGGGGCAAAGTTCTCCAGAAGGCTGCGTATGCTCTGAATCAGCGTCCAATATATATGGTGCTGTTTCTTCCACAGCCAGGATTCATGGGTCCAGGAATCAGGGGGTGTAAGTGGAAGTGGCACCACTCACCTTCACCCCTAGGGATCTACTAGCAAAATTTTTGCTTCCTGTTCCTGTGACATTATGTTCTGCTGGCCTAGAGGTCTTAGTTCCAGAGGGAGGAACGCTCGCACCAGGAGACACAATGATTCCATTAAACTGGAACTTAAGATTGCCCCCTGGACACTTTTGGCTCCTCTTAAGTCAACAGGCTAACAAGGGAGTTAGTATTGGCTGTGGTGACTGTCCCGGACCACCAAGAAGAAATCAGTCTACTGTTCCACAATGGATGTAAGGAAGAGTATGCATGGAATACAGGAGATCCATTAAAGTGTCTCTTAGTTTTACCATGCCCTGTGATTAAGGTCAACAGGAAACTATAACACCCCAATCTATGCAGCACTAAAAATACTCAGGAATGAAAGACTGGGTCACTCCACCAGGAATAAACCATGACCAGCTGAGGTGCTTGCTGAAGGCAAAGAGAATACAGAATAGGTAGTAGAAGAAGGTAGTAATCAATACCAGCCACGACCATGTGACCAGTTGCAGTTATCAGGGACTATAATTGTCATGAGTATTTCCTCCTTCTTTTACTAAAAACATGTTTGTGCATGTATACACTTGTACAAGAAAATATCTTTATTTCCTTTTCCTTCATCATGTGACATAAGATTTATTGACTTTCTATCAACATTTAAGTATTGTTAATTTTATGTAATAGTATTTGGCTTGGGGATTGGTGCATTTCCGGTTGTACAAAGGATAGCTATATTATGTTAGGTTTAATTATGGCCTTACTACTCTCTTTATTTGAAGAATATGTATAATCCGAGGAGATGTGTATGGGTTCAAGTTGACAAGGGGTGGACTTGTGATGGTTAACACTGAGTGTCAACTTGATGGAAGGATACAAAATAGTGATTCTGGGTGTGTCTGTTAGGGTGTTGCCAAAAGAGATTAACATTTGAGTCAGTGGGCTGGGGAAGGCAGATCCACCTTTAATCTGGTGGGCACAATCTAATCAACTGTCAATGAATACAAAGCAGGCAGAAAAACATGAAATGGAGAGACTGGTTAGCCTTCCAGCCTACATCTTTCTCCTGTGCTGGATGCTTTCTGCCCTTCAACATTGGACTCCAAATTCTTCAGTTTGGGGATTCAGTCTGGCTTTCCTTGCTCCTCAGCTTGCAGACAGCCTATTGAGGGACCTTTTGATCGTGTAAGTTAATAGTAAACTCCCCTTTATGTATCTATTTATCCTGTCAGTTCTGTCCCTCTAGAGAACCCTAATATGTTTAAATGATATCAGTTTTGGTGGCAAAATCATAAAGAAAAGCAGAATGACTAATAGAAAAGTAGGAACAGTGGTTAACTTCTGATGAAAAGGAAAAGGGATGTAGTCAAGATAGGGATACAAGAGCACTTACAGGATACTGAAAAATTTCTACTTCTTAACCTGATGAAGAGTTCATATGTAATTCATTTTATTATTTTTCTTTACTTTAAAGTTTAGACATACTTTTTATATAAGCTTGTGTTTATATGATATATTCTACTACTGCTTATATGTGGTTAACATATAATTTTAAAATGTCATATTTGTAACATACATTACATATATGTAACGTATGTATCTAATATATGATATATACAGGAAACTATAAGCTTTCTCTAACATTTTCCCTTCTTTTCTCAGCCACTTTCCATATCTTTAAGACTCTCATTGAAGGCTATCCTTTACCATGATTTCCATCATCTGGGCTAAATCACAATTGACCATTACCACTCTAATTAGGTAAGGTGTTTCTTAATAGAGTAGAGAATATACCAATATCAAATTGTGTACTATACCAATACAGGCCATAAATAAACTTAAAGACAACACTCAGAGCACAAATCAACTAGTATACATGAACAATTTTCTCTGTTTAACTCTCCTAAGGGAAGAAAAATAATAATAGATTATTTTTGGTTATACTGCCATTTCTTTTTTGAAAACTATTTTTTAATTGACAAAAATCATATATATTTATGGTATACAACATGTTTGAAATATGCATACATTGCAGAATGGCTAAATCTAGCTGACACATGCATGATCTCACATACTTACCTTTTTTGTGTGTGGTGACAATACTTAAAATCTGCTCTATTGGCTATTTTCAAGAATACACTACATTGATTTTAACTATACTATAGTTTCTATGTTGTAGTACAGATCTCTTGAACTTATAACAGTACTTTTAATATGACATTATAAGAAACTGTTGCAAAATTTAACATTATTATATGCCATTCCAACTAAATGCTGAAGAGAACTACATGTATCTTGGGGCCATATACAAGAAAAATCTCTTACTATTTTGGGGATTGACCTGCCGAACAGCAGGAGCCTGCATAACAGTTCCTCGCAAGGGAGCCTGAGCTGGTGGTGCAGGAAGAGTTGTATAAACCACCTGGTGGTTTGCAGGAGCTCTTGGTACAGGGAGTCTTGTGGTCACCTGAGTTACTGGACGATGTGTTACATTCACGGTAGTTGGAGCTAATGCAAGGCAGAAAAAGATAAGAATACAGTAAATTTACGTTAAGCAAACAGTATTAAATGGTAGTTATCTTTGTATAAAATCTAATTAACTGATAAAGACAGAAATAACAGTCTCCTTTTGTGGTCTTCTAAGATAAAAATGATAGGGCCAATAAACATTAATAATATTAAAATCCAAGCTTCAGAGGAAAAGAACACCTCCACCACATCCAACTCCCTTCCCACTCTGGTCTGACCAGATAACAAGCAATGTGAAGATTTTTTTAAAAGGTGCAGAATCAAGAGTATGATGGCACAGGAGTGACTTAAAAGAGAAAAACCTCCTACTTTTAATTGTTCTTAGCAAAGTAGAATCATAAGCCCTCCAGGCCTTCTACCAAGGGGGTGTAAATCCAAAAGAGTATCTTTGTATTCCCAAAGATAAAGAAACTGACTGGCTATTGTTAATTCACATTTATTTTTCAAGTGAGCCAACCTAACTCTTTGACCATTATAATCAACATTTTGTTTAGCTGAACCAATCTATCTTTTTTAAAAACAGTAAATAAAATCCATTAAAAAACAGACTTCTCCCTTCTCTACTCTGGCATTCCTCCTATTGTATGTTCCAGAAAGCATTAATATCTTGAGTAATGTTAATAAATATTTATCAAAAAATGAGTCATAAACATTCACTGACAGCATGTATCTATAATAATGATTTTTAGTGACACTTTCTTGTTAACAACTCTCTGAATTAGAATCATATTTTACAAATGACCATGCAGTAATTATATAATAAAAAATAACAAATCAATCTACTTTGATATGGAAAAACATGGGTCCTATAAAAAAATCAATTTGGAAGAAAATACTGGCTGTAACAAAGATAAAACGGTTTCTTTACTAAGGACTTTACAGATCCTAACTTTTGATGTGAGTCTTCAGAAATGGGAAGAAAGAAGAAAGTATTAACAAGAAAGAACACTTATTTCTTCATCTCTTTACTCCCCATTCCATAATCTACACTGCCCATGGGTTTGAATAACGATATTTCCTTCCAAAATATCTAATTTTGATGACTGTCATTATAACTTTGTATAAATGTAAAGAAAGACAACACAGCTCCCAAGGTTGAACTTACTTATAACTGCCTACTTAGATAGAACAATGGTATTGAAATATGAGGACCAATATAAAATTTACACACCAGATAAAGTCACACAAGCACATTCTTTTGCCTGGAAATGCCAACAAGGTAAAATTTATTTTACCTGATGGGAAAGTCTGATTAAGCATCTAGGATTCTGAAATTCAACAAATCTAAACAGTCCCTATCAAAACAACCATGCATTTGCTACATCAACAATAATTTCATAACTCAAAGATTAATTAACAAATAGTTTGCTAAATCACTACGGAAAATATCCTGATTCCTACAAGTTATTTGGTGTTTTAAGTGTAAATTCTACTGGATAAAACCCCACTTTAATTCAAAGTTTTCCTTAATGAGAGGAGTACTTATATAAGAACTGTGCAGATAAATCTTCAAGCAATGGACTGTTTTACAGAAGACAAACCATCTTGATTGGTTTCTGAACAGTTTAGGGGATACAGGCTAAATCTTAAAAAATTTGAATTTACAGCTTCTTGAAAGGTAGCAAGCATATGATTCCTGGTGGTAGTGTTAGACTAGTTAAAGCTATTTCAAGATAAGACACATTTAAAACTTCTTGTTTGATCGGTCAGTTACAACTTCTTGGTTACACTCAGAACAAGTCATTATATTCATCTCTTCCAGAGAAATTACACTCATTTCTGCCGTTTACAGAACATTTGCTGTGGCAGATGACAAATCTGCTACTTTTAAAATTTTTTGTAGAGATGGAGTTTCACTGTGTTGCCCAGGCTAGTCTCAAGAATATAACTCAGAATAATATTATTTTCCACATGCATTAGGAATCACCAGAGTTTTAGAGATATTAGGTGAACGTTATTTTGCGCAGCCAAGTAAGTTTGAGAAACACTTTTTATCTTAAATCATTCTTGGAGATGTACATTATAAATTAGCATAGTAAAGACTCAGAGAAGCCTGCATTAAGAAAAAAATTAATTTAGCTTCAAACTCAGCATTTCTCAAGCATATTTAACCATGGAACTTTGTATTCATGAAATACCTATTAACACTGCAGAATAACTAGAAATATGGTTTACAGTTTCTAAATATTCTAACTCAGAATACTATTACTTTGGATGTGAATGCTTTTTAAAATTACTTCTATTTTTATTTATATAATGTTAAGTAAATAAATATATACTTTATAATCATTCTTTACCAGTGCTGCTGCTGAAGACAGCAAAATTAAGTTATACTGTCTTCAAAAGGACATACATTGTAGTCCTTAAATTAACAATAAGAATTACTCTTAATTTTCTGTCATATCTTTCTGCTTAACTCCATAGTCATAGTTCTCTACAGGTAAACTAAAGCTTCTACTCAATGATTCAGAAAATTTACCTGTAGGTAGTAAGTGTATGGTGGTCTGAGATGGTCCACTTGTTGGCACCCCAGATGGCTGAAGAGGTGGTGCTGGTTGTATGGGTTGCAGTGGTCGTGACACAGGCTGAGAAGAACTCATGGTTGATACAGGAGTGTGATTTAGCTTTTTGGGGTCTGTTAGTTAAAAGTGAAATATTATGACCGACAAGAAAAAAAATTAGGAAATACAAGTCTTTCCTCTATGGACAAATTTTACTTTTGCTTGTCACTTGGGTGTCACATTTACCTCTAAGAGAACAATTTATTTCCATTTTACTTATCTGTATTTTTGCTGATTTGAAAACTGAGTTAAGAGCATATGTAATTCGTTGGTGGTTCTATCACAGATTCTAATTCACATTTACAGAAATTCAGAAATAATCTTACTTGTAAATTCAATACAATATGCCAACTAGAATAATTCATTACTTGCATAATGTATAATCTACATACCTATAGAAACAATACTCTTCAAGACAAATATCTATAAAATGATGAGTTTTTGCTGTGATCTTGAATTTCTATTACAACAATTATTTAGGTTCTTTGATAACCGATGGTTGCTTATCATCACTATATAGTCTTTAAAAAAGACAAAGAATGACTAATCTCAAAAAAGGTCTTCAACAGCCTATAAAATAAATATTTGCATCTCAGAAAAAACTCTTAAATAAAACAGGAAACCACCCAAAAGTCCTTCTATCCAAAATAATCCCCATCAATTTCTGTCCCATACAATTCCACACTACATGTAAATAAAACCCAAGGCGTTAACGATGGATACTTTAATGCCATTAGAAAACAGTGTACTTTAGGAATGTGAGAATTTGAGACAGACTCAAAGGTGGGGCAACAGAGAGACCCCATGAGGCATGGATGCTAGGGAAACGGTGAGAGCACTGAAAACAAACTTTTAGGACTTTACTTTTTAATCCAGAATTAAGCCTACCTGTGTCCTCTCAAAAACCTGTATTTATCTTTTTCTTTAGGGATCCATTATAATAGTCATGGCTGTCTATTAAAAATTAGTGAAAGCAATAGAGATAATTTGAAACTTTTAAAGAATAATCATACTGGCTTGAGTTCAACCCAGATGAAGGATGGCATACATTTCTCAATTCAGTTTTAAATAACAAAATCAACTTTACTGCCATATAATCAATTGTATAGCTATTTAACTTTTGTTTTCCTAAGCTCAACTAGACTGATTCCCCAAAATATTACTTTTAAAATATTTGGGTTTTTAAAAAAGTAATGTCTTTAAGATAATAGTAAGTAATTCAGCACATTTTTACTATATTTTCCACGTGCAATTATCACCAGAGTTTTATAGATATGTAGCTGAATGTTATTTTGCACAGCCAAGTGAGTTTGAGAAACACTTTATATCTTAAATCATTCTTAGAGATTTACATTATAAATCAGCATAGTAAAGGCTCAGAGAAGTCTGCATTAATAAAAAAACAATTTAACTTTAAACTCAGCATTTCCCAAGCATATTTAACCATAGAACTTTGTATTCATGAAACACCTATTAACACTGCAGAATAACTAGGAATATGGTTTACAGTTTCTAACTATTCTAACTCAGAATATTATTATTTTGGATGTGAATGCTTTTTAAAATTACTTCTATTTTTATTTATATAATGCTAGATAAAAGAAACTAATTCAAATGACCAAAATTAAATGTATACATACATATACAGTATCTACACTGAAACAGAGAGAGAAAAATAACATTTAATGTAGAGACAGAAGAGTTGGATTTTATTTCCAAGACCCTTACTGAGTCTGAATTGTTTTCTCTAAGGCTAACAAGTTTCCTCAAGTCTAAAATGAGTATTACAGGATTTTTTGCAAGGATCAAGTGAAATAAGAGATACAAAAACAGAGGTACTCCAAAAATTACAATATTCTCTTAATTGCTGTTTTCCTCTACGGATTGTTCATACTTATTTAAGAGTTGATTCTATTTTAATTTTTTTTTTTTTTTTTTTTTGAGATAGGGTCTCATTCTGTCACCCAGGCTGGAATACAGCAGCATAAACACAGCTCACGGCAGCCTCAACCTCCCAGACTCAAGTTATCTTCTTGCCTCAGCCTCCCATGTAGCTGGGACCACAGACACACGCCATCACACCCAGCTGATTCTTAAATTTTTGGTAGAGATGGGGTTTCACTGTGTTGCCCAGGCTGGTCTCAAACTCCTGGCCTCTTGCCTTGATCCTCCTGCCTTGGCCTCCCAAAGCACTGGGATTACAGGTGTGAAACACTGCACCTGGCCAAATTTTAAAATTCTAATATAGAAACTTCCATTACAAAAAGAACACAAATAAACCAAGCATAATGCTGTAAACATCTGTCTTCATAGAATATTGTACTGTATTAAAACAAAAAAAAAATGGTATCAAAACCAGGCCCAATTCCAAATTACTATTGAAGTACCTTGTGAAGCTCCACTCTCTTCATCATCCATTGTGAGATCAATGACACCACCTGAATCACTGCCAGTGGCTTTTCCACTCTGAAAAACAAAGCTTCTACATTTTACAAAGAAAACTCTGGCAGATATACATGTTAAAAAATGAAATGATAAGTGAGGTAAAATGAGACTAATGAGTAACCTGGTTCAATCGGGACCCCTAAAAGGCTGTACCTGAATAAAGAGAGTTTGTCTGACAAATGCCCCAGGATACTCACGCATTAAACATCCACTATATGAAATACAATTTTCAAAAGAAATTCAAGACGTTATCTTTAAAAAATTAGGCTATCTGTTGCACACAGCAAATAAGATTAAATACAAACACTATTCATTTTGTGACATTTAAAATGTTTATCAGTACTACTCTAAATTATCAATATTAATCCACCACAACACCAAAGGCAATCATTCAAGCTAGAATTGGGTTATAGAAAATAATCTAAATTTTTTTGCCCTAAAAAAACGGTATGGTATACTATGAAATCATACGGTTTGCTATGCTAGTAAATGCACAGCCAAGTTGACCAGTAACCCATCATCCAAAATCATGAGAAATACTAGGATTGTAAGAAAAACCTTTAAAAGCCACATGATAGCAACTGAAAAGGAAGGTAAGACAGTATAAACCTAAAGAGCCAGGACTCTGAAGTCAGAAAGATTGAGTGTGTCTTACAGTTCTAACTTACTAGTTACCTGATTCAGATGGGTAATTATCTCAATTTCCAATATTTGAATATTGAGGCTATTGTGAGGATTAATCCAAATGTGTATATGCGGTGCTTAATGCCATATATGATACAGGACAACTGTTTAATAACTGATAATCACAATTTACTTTGATATATTATACTGAGATCAATTCCAAATGATAAAGGTTTTCATCTGCAAAACTCAAATTGAGAAATTAAAGAAAATAATGCCTTGACTTTATAATATCCAGGCCCAATCCCAAGATAATAATGCAATTCTAATTCTTATAAATCTTTCTACAATAATGATTTCACAGAAAATGGGTTATTTACAAACACCAAAAATCTATAAAATCCCAAACTAAAAGATCCCCAAAATCACCAACAAATGTAAAATAATGTTTCACTACAACATATTATCATTAAGGTCCAGAGCTTTGAAAAGTGGAACTTAGGACAAAAAATAAGTCAACACAAACTGACTCTAAGCAGAGATTAGATTCAGCAGATAAAGACTTGAAAGTAGCTATTAATATGTTTAAAGCCAGGAGTAGTGGCTCACACCTGTAATCCCAACACTTCGGGTGGCTAAGGCAGGCAGATCATGAGGTCAGGAGTTCGAGACCAGCCTGGCCAACATAGTGAAACCCCACCTCTACTAAAAATACAAAAATTAGCCAGACGTGGTGGCGGGTGGCTATAGTTCCAGCTACTCGGGAGGCTGAGGCAGGAGAATCGCTTGAACCTGGGAGGCAGAGGTTGCAGTGAGCCGAGATTGCACCACTGTACTCCAGCCTAGGTGGCAGAGCAAGACTCCATCTCAAAAAAAAAAAAAAAAAATTCAAAGAGTTAAATATAATAACAATGAATGCACAAATAGGACATCTCTAAAGAGAAAAAGAAACAAAAAAACAGAAATAATAGAGCTGAAAAAATAATTACTAAAATAAAAATTAGCTATGTAGGCATAAAAGCAGATTGGAGGGGGCAGGAAAAACTCAAACAAAATTGATGCTAGATCAACAGAAATTTTCTAGTCCATAGGACACAAAGAAGAACAGAAGAAAATATGAAAAATGCCTGAAACTTGTGCAATAAGAAACAGTTCAGCAAAACACTAAATGAGAAGAAACAAAGATCTAAAGAAAAAATGGAATAATAACCAAAAACTTCCCCAATTTGGTGGAAAACATTAATTTACAAATCCAAGAGGTTCAATGAACCTCAAGCAGAAGAAACATTAAGAAATCTATACACATCATAGTCCAAATACTGAAAACTAATAATGAAAAATTTTGAAAGTAAACAGAACAAATTACATATTATGTAGGAGCAAAGAGTAACTGCTGACTATCGGTCAGAAACTATGGAAGCAAGACGACACTGGAACAATATATTCAAATTGCTGATGATTAAGAAAAGAAACCCTTTAAGAATTGTATATCCAATGACACTCTCCTTGAAAAAACGAGACAAAAGATACAAAAGTACATTTTTTAGATATTAAAAAACCAAGAGAATACATCACTAGCAGATCTACACTGTAAAGATGAGCTTAAGGACATTCTTCAGTTTGAAAGGAAATACCAACTTGGATCATGGGAAGAAGAGGACCAGAAAAGGTAAACATAAGGATAAATATTAAAGACTATATCTCTTTTCTGTTCTTAACTTCTTTAAAATTCTGTAAGGCAACAATTAAAAACAATGTATTTAGAGCTCTACAACATGCAGATTAAAAACAATGTAGTATATGTGCAATATATGTGAAAACATGAACGTGATATTTAAGGAAAGCAACTTCATTAAGGAGGTAAATGTACACATACAATTGCAAGGTTCCTATAATTAAGATTCAGATACATACTTAAACTCTAGAACAAACCCTAAAATACACACACACACATAAACACACACACACACACACACACACACACAGAGAGAGATAGAGAGAGTGCTAAAAAGCTAACAGAGGAATTAAGACAGAATGTTTTAAAAAAAAAACTGATACAAAATGAAGCAGCAAAGAAGGTACACAGAAACCAACAAAAAAAGAAAACAGATGAAACAAATAGAAAACAAATAGCAAAATAGCAGAACTAAGCACAATCCTATCAAAACTTATATTAACTATAAACAGTCTAAAAACTCCTATCAAAGTGTAGAGATTATCAAATGGGATAACACAACAACAAATCAAGAAATATGATTTTTTTTTCTCTTTCGGATTCACTTTAAATACAAAGACACAGACTGAAAGTAAAAAGCTGAAAAAAGTAACATACAAACAGTAAGCATAAAAATGCTGCTGTAATTATGTTAGTATCAAAAACAGAGACAAAGAGGGAAATTTTACAATGAAAAAAGTATAGCAAGATTACAAATTATGCATTATAAAAAATAAAATGTAATACAGGGTCAAAATCTATGAAGCAAAACTGATAAAATTAAAGGAAGAAATAGATTCACAATCATACCACTCTTAGTAATAGATAAAACCACTACAGCAAAAGGCAATAATCAGTAAACATACAAATAATCCAAATTACACTATTAACCATGCCATATTGACATTTATAAAACATTACACCCAACAGCAGAATACATATTCTTTTCAAGTGTAATGGTACATTCACTAAGATATATACCATAGATGGAACTTTATAACACATATCTAATTTGTGTAAAAGCAACAAAGTCATACAGAGGATATCTTCTAAATCCAATAGCATTAAATGAAAAATCAATAATAAAAAATTTGCAAAATCCCCAAATACTATGAAATTAAACAAATTACTAACTAAACAACCCAGGACCCAAAAGGAAATGACAAGGAACCTACATGAAATAAAAATGCAACACATGAAAATTTATGGAATGTAGCCAAAGCAGTGCTCAGAGGAAAATGTGTATCATTAAATGCTTATATAGATCGAGAAGATCTACAAGCAATGATCTAATGATAAATTATGTTTATTGATCATAAACTGACAGATACAATTTATCTATTATCATATACTACAAGTAGTTTCCCGAATAGACTTTTTTGACAAATAAAATTGGTAATTACTTCAATAACTATTAAGTACATTTATAAGATAGTCATGATAGCTAGCACTACTCCTATTAGACTCTGTGCTAAATGCTTTACATGCATTAACACATTTACCCTTCCTAATATTTCTATGTGGTAAGTACTAGCACTAGCTCTATTTCATAGGTGAAAAGTCGAAGGTGTTCAATAACTTAACATAGCACCCACCCACTATTAAGTGACAAGCTTCAGGTTGTCTGACTGTAGACCTTATTATTTCTATGCCACCAGGTGGAAATGAACAAACACAGACATGTGATACACATACATGTGATACATATATCTTTACATTTTTTCCTGACAAAACATGTCTGAGAAATCTAATCAGAGACACGTTTATATCTGTTTTTACACATATTACTGAAACTTTCAGTTTGAAATCATTAAAAAATTATATCAAATAGTTTTTAACACTAGAAATTTTATTAAAAAGTTAGCTAATCATGTGCCATTTTCCAAAATGAACAGTCTCAATAAGCAAACACTAAGAAAATTTCAAGAGAGCAAACAGACTGGCTTTGTAGCCTTTTTTTGTAATGAAACAAGAATATACCTGAAAAGCACACTTCAGCAAATGTGAAGAAAGAGTTAACACAGAAGAGCTGGTTGTTCATTCCTTGCACATCTCTCCAAGGGAACTTGGAACCATAATTGAGACTTGGTTAGTTATCAGGAATGTTGCCCTTGGAAGGTCATGTTAACGATTAATTCTCTTATATATACTCTGAACAGTGAACTGTGCCATACTGTGTTCATCAGGATTGCTTTGCATAAATATGAAGATTGATGATGTATACTTGGGTTTCATTGTTGGGATCCTCAGTTTCCAATGTCATGGCCATACAGAAAAATGTCACTATGTGACCAGACCTCCAAAAAACCTCAGACCCTGAGACTCAGTCAGGATTCTCTGGGAAAAGACTCTTGGCACACGTCTCTAAGGTTAATAAGCCAGAGAAAAAACAAATTCTGTGCGATCCCAGACAGACGACTTGGAAGTCTTTGCCTGATCTCTCTGAACTTCAACTCTGCACATTTTTTTCCCTGTTGCTCTTGCTCTACACCTTTTGTTGTGACAAATCATAATGGTGAGTATAACCTACTACTGGGTCTTATGAAATCCTTCTAGCAAATCAGCAAACTTAAAGGTGATCTTGAGTCCTTCAAAACAACAATTACAGATAGCAATGCTATTTTATAACTTACATTGATAATTTGAATAAATTTGCTTTTCAGGATGTAAAACTAATAATTCATTATATAAATGATATATAGTAATAAAATATACAATAATAAATTATGTGCAATATGTTAATAAATAGTTATTTGGGGATCTCAGATAAATCTTCATTTAACAACTACAAGAGAATATTTTACATATTTCATCATTTGCTAATTAACTACAGCTGAACAACAAGCATTTCCACACTAGACATCCAAGTTTCTCTCTCTTTTTTTTTTTTTTTTGAGACAGAGTTTCATTCTGTCACCCAGGCTGGAATGCAGTGGCATTATCTTGGCTCACTGCAACCTCCTCCTGCCAGGTTCAAGTGATCCTCCTGTCTCAGCCTCCCAAGAGATTACAAGCATGCACCACCACCCTCAGCTAATTTTTGTAATTTTAGTAGAGACATGTTGGCCAGCCTGGTCTCGAATTCCTGGCCTCAAGTGATCTGCCCGTCTTGGCCTCCCAAAGTGCTAGGATTACAGGCATAAGCCACTGTGCCTGGCCTTAGACATCCAGATTTCTGCTGATCTAAATAGCCTTAAAAGTGTTAAGAAAGTACAACTAAGTAGGTTTGGGATAGAAAAATGAAGTTAGCCAATTGTACTTACAATGTGACAATTCAAAGAATCACAGGCTACCTGTTTCACACTAGTTTCTATCTGCTAGAAAGTTGCACATTGGGGTAGAAAGATAACAAGAATTTCTTAGTCAACAGTGGAACATTAATAAAGGTATTCATCACAATGACAAAAATGATATTTGTTTCAAAAAATTCTGGCTGGCAAGCATAACTTCATAACTGAAAGCACATATATACTTCCATCATGGTTTCTTATTACACAATAAAACTCCTGTAATTGTATTTATTCTTCATATACATAATTGACACTGATTCAAAGCTGAAACTTTGTTATTTTTGATAAGGCACTGCTTCAGCAGGTTGGCTGCTCAAACTGCTTGTATGCATTTTTTTATACTCAGATATTAAATTCCTCTTCCTTGAAGCCAAATAAAATATCTATTGAGAGCTTAACATTAAGTTGTACTATTGCTTTGCTTTCTGATGAAGTCAATTCCTGTTTCAAGTGTTTTGTTTTTTGTTTTTTTTTTTTTAAGTTTCTTCTTTTTTATAGAGACGGAGTCTCACTTTGTTGCTGAGGCTGGTTTCGAACTCCTGGGCTCAAGTGATCCTCCTGTCTCCGCCTCCCAAAGTGCTGGGATTATAGACGTGAGCCACCATGCCCCACCTCAAGTGTCTTATATTATATCCATTTTAATTTCACTTATATATTTATGATGTTACATATATTATTTATTTATTTATTTTTTGGAGATGGGATGGAGTTTCATTCTTTCACCCACACTGGAGTGAAGTGGTATGATCTCAGCTCACTGCAACCTCCGCCCTCCTGGGTTCAAGCAATTCTCCTGCCTTAGCCTCCCAAGTAGCTGGGATTACAGGGACCTGCCACCACGCCAGGCTAATTTTTGTCTTTTTAGTAGAGACGGGGTTTCCCCATGTTGGCCAGGCTGGTCTCAAACTCCTGACCTCAGGTGATCATCTGCCCGCCTCGGCCTCCCAAAGTGCTAGGATTACAGGCGTGAGACACCATGCCCAGCTACATATACTATATTTCAGCAAAATACTCTATACAATAGAGTTCAATACAACTTTCTGCAATGATGAAAACAGTCTATATCTGTGTGGTCCAATACGCTAGCCACCAGCCATTTGTAGCTACTGAAACTTGAAATGGCGGTTATTTTGACTGAGGAACTAAATTTGTAATTTAATTTAAATAGCTACATGTGACTAGTGGCTTTCATATTAGATATCACAGCTCTAGAAGAACCACCATTTATAAAATGACAAAAAACAGCCATCATAATGTCCATTTTCCTTTCCTTGAAAATATTACTTTAAAAAAAAAAAACTCACTGAGGGAAGTAGAGATGTTCATAAATCCTTTGTTTAAAGTTTAACTAGACTTCCTATAAATGTCACTAAGTATCACTGAATATATCAGCATTTTCTATACGTCTTCTAGAAAGTATCTCAATCTTATAATTTTACATGAAAACACAGTTATAATCCACAAGACATGCTGAGAAACAATCACAACTTTGATCTCTAATACTGCACACAAAAACTGCTAATACTTGTAAGAAGATAAGATATTTTTAATAGCTTTTATTTGATCTATAAACTATGGTGTATATCTAGGTTGGTCAAAATCCATTGTTTTTAAGGAAAATAGTCACATTTAAAGATCAAAAAAGTTTTAAAAATCTTGTCAGTTTTTCATGCCTGACATGCTCAAAGATTTTTGTTCTTCTAGGAATATATGAGCTTCTTGAAATGATTCAAAGGAAGTGAAGAAAATAAAACTATCAGCAACCTAACCACTATGAATTGATTATACCTAAAGCAATAAAGAACAAGGAAGAATACTGTTAATACAGGAAAGAAGTAGTTACTCTATTATTGGGTGGTTAAGATTTAATAGGAAAAAGTACAAAGACTGGCAAAGTGCTAATAAACAAGCAGACAGACAAAAAATTCTTCCTCAAAAGGTATTCTGATTACCTTTGAGGAAATTAAAATGGTGGTAGGGGTAGAGAGTGGTACAAGTGAGGGTAAACCAGTGAAACACTCTTAAAAAAGATGTACCAGGAAGAAATTACATGTGTTTTCTTTTTGCAGACAATCTTTACAGAATGTAAAGGCAAATGACTGGACTGTCAATTGTACTAATCAAATCATTCAGTTAATAAACTATTACCTCTAAGAGAACTGATATGTAAAAACAAAACAAGACAAAACAAAAAATCTCAATTCTTGTCAAATATTACAGAGAAGTTATGAGACAATGTTTGGACAGTTATAAAAAACAGACATAGAACAATTTTCATTCAATCAAAGAATGATGAAAATTCATTTTCCTGTAGACCATAATTAGGATTTTACTTTGAAGAAGGAAAAATCTTACCTGTGATGTGCTATCAGCTGCTTTCTTACTGACAGAAGCATCTATTGTTTTGTTTGTCTGGTTTTCTGAAAAGTAAAAAAAAAAGCCATTTTTAAAAACATCTACAAAATGTAAAAAGTTAAGTTGCTTTATATAAAACTGGACATATTGTTTTCTCCAACTATTTTTCTGTCAACATGTCACATATGTAAATAAAAACTCAAACTCACAGATCACTGCTATAGTATCTTTCAGAAGGGGAAATTCACAATACTGATTTAAAAAAACTTTCCACTGGCCCAGCAATTTTAACTCTAAGCAGTATCTCATGGAAATAATTTAAGATACACAAAACTTAAATGTGCTACCATGAGGAAATAGTTAAACAAAATATAATTCCTGCATACTATGTCCCTTTGGAGAAAAAAATTTAATATGTCAAAAATGTTTCCAATAAATTCGGTAGAAACAGTTGCAGTAAATCCAAGAAAATACACATGTATATTTCTCAGTAGTTCAATCACCCATGATTTTTCTTTCTCTGTTCATTTTTCAATTAACTTGTAATGACTTTGCAGTTAAAAAATAATGTTACTTCCAGAACAGCACAGAAAATAAACAAAGCATATTTTGTCCCAATTTCTAATGAGAGGAAAAGAGAGAATGCATTAAATTTCATCAAAGGTTTTATGCACCTATTGAGATTATTTAGGGTTTCCTGTTTGGTAATATGGGGTTTTTAAATGTTGAAACAGCCCATCCTTTCTTTCTGGAGATAAAATCCTCTTGGTCAAAGTATGGCATTCCTTTCATTTGTAAGTCTTCAGAATGCATACAGAGTAAACAATTTACGTTTAAAAAAATACAGGAGATTTAACTACCTATGTATTTCCATATGTACATATATAAATCTGTATGTCTAAAAAATCAAGTTGGGTTAATATTCACCTGTTAAAAGAGAAGTATTCTAGGGTACAGAAGTAAAAAGGATGCCCTTTGATTTCTCCTACCTTGTCTGAATTACTTTCTTTTTGTAAGAATAATATTAATATATTATCTATTTATTTAAAAATATATTCAAATTACTTCATTTATTACAAATGAGCATCTGTTTGGGACTATGAAGTTCCTGAAAGACTAACAAAACTAATTCTAGGTTACTGATGTTACATAGTGGAGTATTAAGATAAACTAGGTGATATTACCAAAATATCAGTGATTTACTACCAATGGTTTTTATATACGATGTTAAAATACATTCATTTGGATTTGAAACACTTTCATCTTCAACTCAAAACAAGATAACTTTACATAAAAAGTAAATGAGGAAGCCTCACTTTTGTGTTTTTATTTTTTAATTCTTCATTTTATTTATTTTTTTCTTTTTGAGAGAGTCTTGCTCTGTCACCCAGACTGGAGTGCAGTGGCACGATCTTGGCTCACTGCAACCTCCATCTCCCAGGTTCAAGTGATTCTCATGTCTCAGGCTCCTGAGTAGCTGGGACTACCAGTGAGTGCCACCATGCCTGGCTAATTTTTGTTTTAGTAGAGACCTGCTTTCACCATGCTGGCCAGGATGGTCTCGATCTTCTGGCCTCAAGTGATCCACCTGCCTCACCCTCCCAAAGTGCTGGGATTATAGGCATGAGCCAACATACCTGGCCTCATTTTTACTTTTTGTCATAATATTTTCATATAAGAAAATTCCTAAAGATGCAAGAAAGATTTAGACTGCTTAATAAAATGTTACATACACATTTCTTTGTTACCCAGCATGATTCTCTCTTAGACCTAATTGCCTTAGAGCTATAAGTTAATTATTCACGGAACTGTAATAATATTCCTTATTCTAGATTCTCAACTAACATCTCCCTTGCCCATTATTACACAATTTTTCCCTTGATTCTTAATGTAATGTCTTATAGCTCCATTGCATTGCTTTTGCTTTCTTCTGTAAGATCTACTTTGGATGACTTCTGGATATAAATATAACTCCATCTATCAAGGCAACAAAACTGGTCAGGATGTAAAATAAGAAATTATAGCTTAAAATCCTTCTATCATATGGAATACATCTCCATAAAAATAAAAATAAAAGTAAATAAAATTAAAAAGTACTTTACAGGAGTTAAACTGGCAGTATCCCTTAGTAGCTCTGGATAATTGTATGAACATAAAAAAGGCAAATACTTCATTCATTTAATTCTATCCTTGAAGAAATGAAGAAATAATTGCTGTGTTTAAACTCTTACTTGTTTTCGTTTCTGAGACAGGGTCCTTCCTCTGTTGCCCAGGTTGGAGTGCAGTGGCACGACCATGGCTCACTGCAGCCTTGACCTCCTGGGTTCAAGCAATCCTCCTCCTTCGGCCTCCTGGGTAGCTGGGACTGCAGGCATGTGTCACCATGCCAAACTAATTTTTTATTTTTTGTACATATGGGGGTCTCGCTATATTGCAAGGCTGGTCTCGAGCTCCTGAGCTCAAGCCATCCTCCTGCCTCAGCCTACCAAAGTGTTGGTATTACAGGCATAAGCCACCATGCCCAGCCAACTCTAGTTTTACATAGTCTTAGAACAAGATGCTTAATGTAATTTGAAAGTGTACCTTGTACATGGATTGCATATAACTTCCCCCAAAATCTGTTCTTTCTTTAATGTCTAGTTTAGTAAATGTAACAACATTCAAAAATGTCTTAGAAAGCTGAGTCATCTTTGAGTTCTCCATTTTTTCCACACATCTAAACTTTTATTAATAAATTACCAAGTACTGCCAATGCTACCTCTTAAATAACGTTTAAATCTTTTTCATACCACCATCTCTCATCTCGTACACTACAAGAGCCTCCAGTCTCCTAATTGGTCTTCCTAACACTATTCTTATCCCTTCCAAACCATTCTCCATACTGTAACCAGGGTTCATGGATGTCACATTACCCTCTATACCTCCTACAAAAACCCTTTAACCCTATTTCCCCCATTCTTCTGTTCATTACTTCATACCTTTCCAGATTTCCCATGTTCTCTTTTGTCCTCTCACAAAAACCTGCAAATCCTAACACTCATCACATTTATAATTAATTCGCTATTTAATGATTACATTCCCTATTTGATTGTAAGCTTGGTGAGATCATAGTGACTATTTTATACATTTCTGTGTATCTAAAGAACCTCAGATAATATAGGCATTCATTACTTTGTGAATGAATGAAATCAGCTATAGTTTGAGCTTTAAATTTCCAAGCCCTTAGGAGGACATTTACCTCACTATAAACAGAAACACAGATTTAAAATCCATGAGGATATACTTAACTATAATAAAATACATACAAATGCATGAACATATAGCATATGTTCTTATTAAGCAAATATAATACCCACATAAGTATAGAGCTTAGAAAATTTTAATTATATAACCTAATTTATCTATCAAACTACTAAATGTAATAGAGATGTACTGAAGTTCGGCTTCAGTTTAGGTTGTGGGAATCCTAAAAAGCCAAATGCTTACTTTAACATCATTTATGTCACTGCTGAAATTATACTTGATCAAAGAACATATTATAAGTAATAAAGTCAGAACTGAAGAATAAGCAAGTTCATAAGATCTCATTTTAGTTAGCATTATGAAAAAAATACAAACAAAGCTTGTCATTCACATTTATTCATTATCAAATGTAGGTAAGCATTCTAAATGGAACTTGAAGATCTTGATATAATTACATATTAAAAATATATAAATGTGTTAAATAAATATATGTGTTAAAATATGTAATTTTATGTTTAGAAATAATTGTACATTATCTTAGAATGCTACACCAATTAATGATTGTGAAAACTTACTTTTATATAAAAAAATTAAGAATAGTCAAATGAAACAGACTGACATGCATTACTAATAGTGTACATCAACTAGATAATTTGGGGAATATACCCTTTCTATAAAAACTGTAAGAGAACAGAATAATGAAATTATAATTCTGACACTTTTAGAAGTGTTTGGAGTACGAGCATGACATTAAACAAATACTCTTAAATTATTTCTTTTCAAGTCATGGTTTTTCAGGAAAAGTTCTCTATTTAAGAATATATCTCATCTCATGACCATGAAATTAAAACAATGTCAACTTTGCCTCAAAATTTCATAAGGAGGAAAACCCAAAATCACATAAAACAATGTCCATCACTAAATCATCTGGCATTAAAAAATACTAAGAACTAAAAGAAAAAGAAGTTACAGAAAAATGAAATATCACCCAAAAATCTTGTATGTCCACTGACCTCAGTTAAAAGTAAGCATCTCTTTTAGTGTTGTAAACATGAAAGAATATCCAAAAAATAATGTGGTAGCAGATAATACTAACAAACATTTGCCCCTGTACTATGCAAACATTTAAATTGTAAATACTATAAATAATAATTACACTTTCATATAAAACATTAGTTTATTCTTATAAATATGATAAGAGTGATATCCAGCTTCAATCCAACATTAATTTTGATCTGCCACTCATTTACTTTCTTAACAACTCTGAAATACCGTCATTGTTTTATATGAGAAAACACTTAAGGAGTAACTACACTAGTAATGACTATATGACAAAAACTAAGGCTTGTACATCTCACTTATAAAAGTAATTTTGTACTTTAGAATTTGTTTCCTACATTACATGGTCACTTACAACATCAATAAGAAAAACACTGTAGCAATTCTACTATACACATGATGCCTACCTACCCTTCCCTGCCTTTCCAAAAGTAGTGCGGATACATATGAAGTCAGAAATGAAGAATAAGCAAGCTCAAGAATGCATACAAAACAAACTCTTTCCAGGAGCCAGTAAGACACAGAGTTTGGCAGATTTTAAACAGGTATAGTCAAGTTTTCCTTTTTGCAGTATTTCTAAGTAAAATACAAACCATCATATAATATGTCATATGGGAAAACGGAAAGGATAAAACAAGAAGGACTCAAACATTTTATAGTAAATGTGAAAGAAAATCTATTTTTAAGTTGTTCAAATTTGGAAGCTATGAATGAGTGCACAAAGGATTTTCCAAATGTGTAAGGAACATAAACGTGCCTTTTTTTCTTAAAAGCATATATTATGTAAATTTGATACTTTAAAATGTTTTAAACAGACATTGCTGGCAAATGTATCATAAAAGTAACTCATAATGCTTGCCACAAAGCCATAAATTCAAAATTCACCGAACTTAGGAAAATTACTAAAAGATAAAACACAGATACTAACTTCTAATTCAAAATAAACCCCCTCTCAAGCCCCATTTTAGCAACATCATTTCTCTGAGGTATCTAAAAAATTACTAAAAATAATCAAGAAAATTCTATTTATTTTGTCCTTCCAATAATGCTAGCCACTTAGAAAAAAAAAGTTCAATCGTTACAAGGCTATTAACATGCTTGCATTTCTAGCATTAAACCTACATGGTGACTTACCAATTCTTGGGGTGGTATTGCTGTTCTGTTCTGCAGGAGACGAAGTACTAAATGCAGAAATTGGAATTTTCATCTGTATAGGACCTCGATTATTTGATGGACTATAGAGTCCTGATGGGCCCACTGTGGGCAAAGAAGTCCTTGTGGCTTGTACAATAGAGTGTGCCGTTGGAACAGCCTGCACCGCAAGTGTTGTTCCCAATGGTGCAGCACTGGCAGTAGGGTTCCTTTGAATACTAGAACTGGGCACAGAAGGAACGTTGTTTGGTTTAGTGGGATTTGGCAAGGATGGCAAGGATACTGGATTTTTGGTAAGACCACTCACTGTAGGTGGGCTTTGCACAGAAATGAATTCAACGTTGCCAGATGGTTGATTAGTCACCAAAGTCCCTGGATGGCTCTGTAGAAGCTGAGGCTGGGAGGATACTGCAACAGGTACATGCAAAATCACTGGCAAAGGTTGTAAAGAGATTGTAGGTTGAGGATTTCCACTAGGCACCTGAGTAGTAGCAACTACAGTAGCTGTATTGGGTGCAGGAAGAACTGACGTTGCTGTGAGGGAACCCGAAGTCACTGGAGTCTGCAATTTAGGTTGACTACTGACAACTGTTGGAGGAGTGACAAGATTGGTTGAAGATACTATAGAAAGAAAACAGAATTCTCCGTTTAAATGGTTATATTAATTTATCAACTAAGAAAATATGACAGATACAAATTAAATACATTGCATTAGACTTAGCATAGACTAAATACATCGCAAAGACTGTAAAGTCTTTTATCATGAAATTTTTTCCAGATTCAAATTCCGAAATTTAATTTAGAATTAAATTCTTAGAAGAATTTTGCATGTAGGTTTAGTATATTACAAAAACAGCACATGATGGATGATTAATATGCAAGACTACTGAGTATCAAAATGGTCTCTGAAAATTACTATAATCACTTTAGAGTACCTAACTAGTAAACAAATAAAAAATACTAAAAAGTTACGTAAAAATATGTATTTTTGAAACTACATTAAAAACATTATAAATGCCTTAAAACACAAGTAATAGATAAACTCAAATAGTAAATCTGAAGAGTCATGACCATTAATGAATAACAGGTAAGCTTACTCATTATATTTTATTATTTGAACCATGTCTGTATCTTTGGATCAAGTTTGACTGAATTCCTTGGGAGAGGAACTATTAGGGGGAGGTTCCCTCTACTGACATTGTATGATATGAAAAACAGCACTGAGTGAAGTTGACAGATGAATTAAGAAGAAATTAGGTAGCATATACAGAAGAACAGAGAAAATACAAATGCTGACAAATGCTGGTCACTACAGTTTTATAGCAATTTTCAACTACTTGTGTTTATTCTCATTGGAACAGGTTTAAAATACATGACCAAACTTCTTTCTCACTGATTTATACTCTTTCCAAAAATCACAGGTTCACTAGAGCAGCAGTTTCTCAAAGTGTGGTCCAGGGGGGTGCCTGGGGTTTTCTGAGACCCTTTTGGGGAGTTTGCAATGTCAAAACTATTTTCATAACAATGAGACATTATTTGACTTTTTAAATGAGCAGACATTTGCACCAATGGAGCAAAAGCAATGGTGAGTAAAACTTCTGATGCTTAGTACAAAAATCAAGGTAGTACAATGGACCAAACGTTGCTGCATTCTTCATCACATGCTTACAGTAAAAAACAAAGTCAGTTTTACTTAAGAATCCCCATGACACAGCAGTAAAAACTATTAACTTTATTATATCTCAACTTTTGAATAGCGGTTCTTTTCTTAATATTCCATGTGAAGGAATAGGCAGTACATATGAGACAACTACTGCGTGCCAAAGTAGGATAGTTAACTCAAGGAAAAATGCTTGTGCAATTGAGCTATAAACTAAACTAGCAATCTTTCCCACGAAAGATTATTTTTACTTGAAAGAATGACCTACAGACACACCGATGATTCACATGTGGGTATTTTGAAGATCTTTTCTTAGAAATAAACTAGGTAAGGCAGTCACTTCAAAGAAAAAAAGCCCAACTGTATTTATCAGTAATAATAACATTTGAGTTCTTAAGCAAAACAAAGAACATTAGAAAAAACTTTTATCTGTCATTGAAAGCATGACAGCTCCCTAAATCCTTAAAATGCTTCTCTGACTAGAACTGATAATAAAATCAGTAAATGTAATTTTTAAAAATAATATTAACAAAATGTGTCAATATTTGGAAGATTTGCATAACTTGGTGAATCGTTTTCAAATGATCAATGAATATTAGTAAAACTCCATGTGCAAGTACAAGATAGAGGAATTTTTTTTTTTTTTTTTTTTAAAGACAGGGTTTGCCTCTATCGCCCAGGATGGAGTACACTGGCGCAATCTTGGCTCATAGCAGCTTACACCTCCTGGGCTCATGTCATCTTTCCACCTCAGCCTCCCAAGTAGCTGGGACCACAGGTGTGCACCACCATGTCCGGCTACTTTTTGTATTTTTTGTAGAGACAAGTTTCACTATGTTGCCCTGCCCGGCCTGGAACTCCTGAGTTCAAGTGATCCACCTGCCTCGGGCCTCCCAAAGTGCGGGGATTACAGGCGTAAGGCACTACACTTGTCCAATAAATGGATTTTAATGGAGGAGTTAGAAAAGTTCTTTGGTGTGGTTTCAGATTATACTTCACAACCAACCTTAAAGAAACTACTACTGGACAGTATCAAAGAAGAATATCCACAATTATCTGTAAGGGCTAGCCCTTTTCCATCTATATATTTGTATAAGACTGGATTTCCTTCATATGCGTCAACCAAATCAACATTTTAAAACAGACTAAAAGCAGATACAGATATGAGTATACAGCTATCTTTAGCTGTCTTAATGTCTCAAAGTATTAAAGAGATACGTAAAAAATGTAAGAGAATAATGCTCTTTGTGCTGCTATTTTTAGGCTTGGAAAATACACTTAGTTTCATTTTAAAAAGTTTTTTATGTTAGACATGAGTTTACTATTACTTTATTTATTTTTATATTTATTATTTATTTATTTATTTTTTTTTTGAGAGAAAGTCTCACTCTGTCGCCCAGGTTGGGGTGCAGTGGCGTGATCTCGGCTCACCGCACTCCACCTCCCGGGTTCAAGCGATTCTCCTGCCTCAGCCTCCTGAGTGGCTGGGATTACAGGCACCAGCCATCATGCCTGGCTAATTTTTGTATTTTGGTAGAGATGGGGTTTCACCATGTTGGCCAGGCTGGTCTCAAACTCCTGACCTCAAGTGATCTGCCTGCCTCAGCCTCTCAAAGTCCTGGGATTACAGGCGTGAGCCACCAAGCCCAGTCTACTTTTATTTTAAAAATATCTTTAAATTTCTGTTTAATTTCTACTTCATTTCAACTGAAAATAAACATCAACTGATGTAACCCACATAAATAAAAGTTCTGGGGTTCTTAATAATTTTTTAAGATTGTAAAGGGATCTAGAGATGAGAAAGTTTGTGAACTACTACAATAGAGATTTGAATATCTATACTGTATTTTCACATATACTTATCTACCACCCTAAATTTTTTTGTTTTAAGAGACAAGTGAATTTCACTATGTTGCCCAAGTTGACTCGAACTCCTGGGTTCAGGTAATCCTCCTCAGCCTCCCAAGTAGCTGAGACTATAGGCATGTGCCACCATGCCCAGTTTGATCCTGAATTTTTAACAAAATTTTTGTACTTAGACCAATGTGCCCAATTTCTTAATCCATTTCAACCTCAAAAGAATGTAAGAAAAGAGAACCAAAGCCTTTAATTCCTAAGAAAATGTATTTTGGTATTTTTAAAAAAAAGTTACCTGTATTCACAGGAGTTTGAAAGGATGGTGGTGCACTCTCGCTTACATTTCTTTTGGACTCCAGCATCTGTCTCACTGTGCCTGCATTTCTATGAAATATATATACACACAAATAGTCAACAGATATGCCACTCTGGGAAAACCAACTGATATCTAGAATAAGCAGTGGCCCATAGGGGAAAAAGGGTGGCTAGACTTGGGTTTCACAACCCTAAACTGCAAGCAAAAACAGTGAGGCATAGCTGGCACAAAGACTTCTAAATGCTGGGGTCTATGGCATTAGGGAAGAGTCTTAACTCTTGTATTCTAATGTCTGTTATCGGTACTTAACCTGAATACCAAAAGTAGGTCCTAATATGTACAAACATTAGTCTTTCTCACCCTTAACAGAAGCATTTCTCAATTACTCGAGAGAATACTATTTAAGACAAGTGGTTAAACAAATATATAGTGACCAAAGAATGCCTTACAATAAGTTAGCAAAAGTATTATTCACAGATGAACAATATAATGAAGCAGAAAAAGAAAATATACTAACCAAGTACACCACTTATTTCCACATAAATACCATGATTACACTGCAAGATTCTTCAACCAAATAAAGAAAATTAGAACTTTGTTCTGTTATTTAAAAACTAGACAGACTACAAATTCTCACCTGTAAGGCATGTTATTATTGCTGTTGACATCATTTACAGTTTTTCCTGGTGATACTGGTGGGTTGGGTGGATGCTGGGGGAGAAAAAAAATCAAGGTAAAAATAAAACTCAACACACAGGGAATCTTTAAAAAAAAATAAGACCTGTAGATGCCTGTCAATATATTATCTGTTAGTGCTCTAATACAATGGGAAACACTGCTAGCTGAGACAACAATTTGAATCTTGGCATTATCACTTGTTCATTGTATCTTAATAAATCATTCACTTTGCTGAAGGCAACTGCTTATCATTTGAGAGATTAATAAAATAATTCCTGCATCTCAGTGTTCTTATGAGGATTAAATTAAAAACACAAAAATGGCTCACATGCTGTAAGAGTTTAAAAACATTAACAATATAAATCTAAAGAATAACCAGACTCACTCATTTAACACATAACTAGTGAATGCCTACTATGTAGCAGGCATCATATTAGCACCAGCAGTTCAACAAGTAAGTGGTATCCAATGTCACAAATCAAAATTTTCAAACCAAAATTATTTTTAAGTTGTTTTTTAAAAAAATACTACCTACCACTGTGTGACTTAAATTATTTCATAAAACGTCACAAATCTAAGCTTCAGTAACAACTTATTTCAGCCTTTCTCCCCACAACCAGGGAATACAGAAATGGAATTATAACACCTACATATTAATTATCATTATTTAGGCCTCCGTCATTAATAACACTATCATCATTTATCTCTTAAAAGGAGGCCGGGTACAGTGGCTCACACCCATAATGCTAGCACGTTGGGAGGCTGAGACAGGCAAGGCTTGCTTGAGCTCAGGAGTTATAGACCAGCCTGGGCAATGTAGCGAAACCCCATCTCTAAAAATACATATATATGTGTAAAAATTAGCCAAGCGTGTTAATACACGCCTGTGGTCCCACCTCCTTGGGAGGCTAAGGTGGGAGGACAGCTTGAGCCGAGGAGGCAGAGGTTGCAGTGAGCTGAGATTGTGTTACTGCAATCCAGCCTGGGTGACACAGCCAGACCATGCCTCAAAAACAAACAAACAAAAAAAAAATGAGAAGAATAAAATATCTCTACTCAAGACTAAGTCAAGTGTAAGAATAACATATTAAACCAAAAGTAATAAATGCTTAGAATTACATTGAGCAGATGCCCTTAATCACTCTTCTTAACAACAAATACATCTTGCTACTTTTTATATGACACAACAATAATTTCAACCTTCTAGTATGACATTGCATTAGATATGTGTAGAGGGAAAAACAATAGAATTAAGATAATATGCTATAAAGGTATTTAAAATCTGGCTGTTAAGACAAACAAATGTAAAACAAGAGAAAAGCAAATTAAAATAACAGTGTAATGTGAATGTAAAAAGGTTAAAAAATAAGCTTTTAGGGAAAGGAATGCATCTTTAAGCATATCATTGAGGTTTTTTTTTGTTTTTTTTTGAGATAGAGTCTCACTGTCACCCAGGCTGGAGTGCACCATCTTGGCTCACTGCAGCCTCCGCCTCCCAGTCTCAAGAGATTCTCGTGCCTCAGCCTCTGAGTAGCTGGGATTACAGGTGTCCGCCACCAGGCCCAGCTAATTTTTGTATTTTTAGTAGAGGTGGGGTTTCGCCATGTTGACCAGGCTGGTTTTGAACTCCTGACCTCAAGTGATCTGCTGTCCTCGGCCTCCCAAAGTGCTGGGATTACAGGCACGAGCTACTGTGCCTGGCCATCATTAAGTAATTACACTCAAAATGGTTAAAAGAATACTTCAGGAGAAAAACAAAAAAGAAGAATAAATGCATAGGGAATAAATAAAACAAATGATTTAGAACACAGGAGTCATTTGATGGAGGATTTTAAAAAACTGTGGTAGGATCAGCAACGTGTCAGAACAGGAAGTCCCCTCTGCTTCCCATATGGAGATGACTTAACAAGGTAAGCATCATATTGCCTGCATGAGATTTCCACAAACTAGTTGAGAGGATATGGCACAAGGCCAAAAAGAGGCACACTGGAACAGTTAGGAAAATATATTTACTCACTATACCCCATCAACCTCCCAACACAGCTTCTACATCAGAAAGGAAAGAGAAAGGTGGAGCTTGAATCTAACTGTTTAAGAAGATGCCCAATGCACTAGATTTTGTCTTACCCAAAATGGAGGACTAACCTGTAGTAAGAACTGTGACTATGGCACTTTGGATGCCTGTGAGTCTCAGAGACCAAAGGCAGGACCCTCAACTTGATAGAGCACCAGAGAAATTGCAGTAACACTGACAGACAGCAGGGGAAGCACTAATACAACAGCTTGCTAAAGTACCAGAGGCTGCTACAGCAAAGACAGGTACCAGAGGAAGCTTCAGAGTGGAGAGGCAAACCTCTTCAGATGGAAGAGTACAAGTAAAAGCCCAGAGAAGACACACAGCCAAAAAAAGGTGTTAGAGGCCCACAGACTCTCTAACAAGGCTGACTGGTGAAGCCCTTCCTGTGTACAAGAGTCCACAAAGACTGGGAGATGTGGCTGTTTTTTCAAATGCTAAAATTTCAACAAGCATACAAATAAACAGAGAAATATGGTCCAAATAAATAAAATAAACCTCAAAAAATCAACCCTAAAGTAACAGAGATCTATGAATTATCTGCCAATGAATTCAAAATAACTATCATTAAGATACTCAACGAGGTGAAAAAGACGACAGAAAACAGCAAAATCAGGAAAAGGGTGCATGAACAAAATGAGAATGTCAACAAAGAGAAACTGTAAAAACTTATCAAACAGAAATTATGAAGCTGAAAATGAACATTCACTGTAGGGAATCAAGAGCAGACCGGATCAAACAGAAAAATAAATCCACAATTTTGTAAACAGATCATTTGAAATTATCAAGTCAGAGGAGCAAAAAGAGAATGAAGAAAAGCTAAGAAAGTCTAAAGGACTTTTGGGACACCAATAGGCAAACCAATATACACATAAGGGAAGTAAAAGAAGACAGAGAGAAAGGGGCTGGGAACTCATTTAGATAAATAATTTGCTGAAAATGTCTGAAACTGGAAGAAGAAAATGGAGATGCAAATTCAAGAAGCCCAAAGACCTCCAACTATCCTTAACCCAAAAACATCTATACTGAGATACATTATAACCAAGCTGTCTGAATCACAGTAAATAATCTTGAAAGCAGTAAGAGAAAAGCAACTCATAACAATATACAAGGGAACTCCCATAAGATAACACGCAGATTTCTCAGCAGAAACCTTGTAGGCCTGAAGGAGTGAGATAATATATTATTAAAGTGCTGAATGAAAGAACTGTCAATCAAGAATACAATATCCGGCAATAATATGCTTCAAAAATGTAGGTGAAATTAAAATTTTTCCCAGATTAATAAAAGTTGAAGGAGTTTCATCACTATTCCTGTCCTATAAGAAGTGCTAAAGAAAAACCAAATACTGCATGTTACTACTCATAGGTGGGAATTGAACAATGAGATCACTTGGACACAGGAAGGGGAGCATCACACACTGGGTCCTATTGTGGGGAGGGGGGAGGGGGGAGGGATAGCATTAGGAGATACACCTAATATAAATGACAAGTTAATGGGTGCAGCACACCAACATGGTACATGTATGCATATGTAATAAACTTGCACATTGTGCACATGTACCCTAGAACTTAAAGTATAAATAATAAAAAAAAAAAGAAGTGCTAAAGAAAGTCCTTCAAGTGGAAACTAAAAAGTGCTACACAACGTCATGGAAGCATACAAAAATATAAACCTCTCTAAGGTAAAAGTTGATAAGGAGAAAAATACAGAATCCTGTATTCTTGTTATATTGGTGCATAAATCACTTTTAATTCTGGTATAGAACTTAAAACCTTAAAAAAACTAAAAATATGTTAACAGATACACAACATAAAAAGATATGATATATGACATCAGTAACATCAAGTCATGGTGAGGCAGATATAGAGTAGCACTCTTATATGATTAAAGTTATTTGCAGTTTAACATAGACAGTTGTAACTTTAGGATATTTTATGTAATCCCCACGGTAACCACAGAGAAAACATCTACAGAAAATACACAAAAGGAATTGTAAAAGGAATGAAAGCACACTACTATACCAAAAGAAAAAAAGCAATGAAACACGAAGGAATCAAGAAACAAAAAATAGCTGTAAGTCATAGAGAAAAAAACAAAATGACAATAGTAAGTCCCTCCCAATGAGCAGTTTATTTAAATGCAAATGGATAAAACTCTCCAATCAAAACACAGGTTGACTTAATGTTTTTAAAAATAAGATCCAACTATATGCTGCCTACAAGAGGCTCACTTTGGATCCAAAATACAACATAGAATGAAAGTGAAAGGATGGAAAAATACATTCCATGCAAATGGTAACAAAAAGACAGTAAGGATGGGCCATACTTATGTAAAACAAAATAGACTTTAAGTCAAAAACTGTCAAAACAGACAATGAAGGACATAACGATAAAAGGGTCTATTCACCAGTTGTAACACACACACACACACACACACACACACCCCTCCCTACCTAACATCAGAGCTCCAAATATATGAAACAAACAATGAAAGAATGAAAGGGAGAAACAGACAGCAACACAATGATAGTAGGAAACTTCAATATCCCACTTTCAATAATGGAGAGAACCATCAGACAGAATATCAACAAGGAAACAGAGAACTTTAACAACACTATATGCTAATTGGACCTAACAGACAAATAGAATAAGTTATCGAACAACAGCAGAATATACATTTCTCTCAAGAGCACACAGAAAATTCTCATGGATAGGTCACATGTCACAACCCAGGTCTTAACAAATTTAAAAAGAATGAAATCATGCCAAGTATCTTTTCTGACCATAATGGAATGAAACTTGAAGTCAATAGCAGAAGAAAAGTAGGAAAAGTCACAAATATGTCAAAATTAAACATGCTGTTAAAAAAAAAAAAAAAAACCCAACAAGTCAAAGAAGAAGGTAAATTACAAGATATCTTCAGACAAACGAAAATGAAAACAAAATATAATAAATTGTATGCAGTGAAAACAGTGTTAAGAAGGAAGTTTATAGTGGTAAAACACTTACAAATAGAAAGATCTCAAATCAACAATCTAGATTTACAACTCAAAAATCTAGAGGGAAAAAACTAAACCCAAAATCAACAAGAGGAAAGAAATAATTAAAATTAGGGCAGAAGTAAACAAAATAGAAAATAGAAAAATGGAAAAGCAAAAAACAAAACTAAGAGTTGGTTTAAAAAAAAAATCAACGAAATTGATAAATCCTTAGCTAGGCTAACTAACTAAACAGATGACTTTAAAAATGAAAAGAAATGAAAGAACGAGAAGACATTAGAACTGATGCTAAACAGAAAGGATTACAAGACACTACAATGAACAATTACACACCTGCAAGCTTGATTACCTAGAATAAATTCCTAAAAACACACAACCCACCAAGACTGAATTATTAAAAGTAAATAAATGAATCTGTAATTAGTAAGGAGATTTAATCAGTAATACTAATCTCCTAACAAACAAAAGCCTGAGGTCAGGTGCAGTGGCTCACTTGAGGTCAGGAGTTCAAGACCACCCTGGCCAAATGATGAAAGCCCGTCTCTATTACAGATACAAAAATTAGCCAGACGCAGTGGTGCAGGCCTATTATTTCAGCTACTCAGGAGGCTGAGGCACACAAATCACTTGAACCAAGATCACACCACTGCACTCCAGCCTGGGTGACAGAGTGAGACTCCATTGAAAATATAATAATAATAATTAATAAATAATAAATGTAAAAAATAAACAAAATTAACAAACAAAAGCCTAAGACCAGATGGCTTCACTGGAGGATACTACCAAACAATTAGTAGTATTCCAAGAGGAGTACTTCCAAGTAGGAGTACCCTCAAATTCCATTTATTAGGCAATCATTACCTTGATACTAAAGCCGAACGAAGATACTAAAACTACAAATATCCCTGATGAATACTAATATAAAAATCCTCAAGAAAATATTAGCAAACCAAATTCAACAGCATGTTAAAAAGATTATACACCATGACCAAGTTGGTTTATCTGAGGAATGCAAGGATAGGTCGAGATATAAAAATCAATGTAACATAAGATATTAACAGAAAAAAGGACAAGACCCACATGATCATCTTAATTGATGCAGCAAAAGAACTTGACAAAAGTCAACATCCTTTCATGGAAAAAAATAAATAAAACACTCATCAAACCAGAAATGGAAACTATCTAAATTTAACAAAGGCCATACATGAAAACTCCACAGTTAACATCATACTCAATGGTGAAAAACTGAAAGCTTTCCTCCAAAGATAAGGAATTAAGCAAGCATGCCACTTCTATTCAATATAGTACTGGAAATCCTAAACCAAACAATTATGCAAGAAAAAGAAATAAATGGCATCCAAATCAGAAAAAGAAGTATAAATATCTTTGTTCACAGGTGATATGATCTTATATGTAAAAACCCTAAAGACAACTGTTCAAACCTAAGCAAACTCAGCAATGTTGCAGGATACAAAATCAACCTGCAAAAATCAGTTGCATATCTATAAATTATAAAAAATACAAAAAAGAAATGAACAATATAATTTACAATAGCATCAAAAAGAATAAAATACTTAGGAATACACTTAACAAAGGGAGAAAACAATTACACAACAAAAACTACAAAACAATGTTGGAAAAAGTTTAAAGACACAAATAAGTGAAAAGACACACTGTGTTCAAGGATTGGGAGACTTCTTATTGTTAAAATATCTGTATTACCCAAAGCAACCTGCAGATTCAGTGCAATCCCTATCAATATTGCAATAGTGGGTTTTGGTTTTGTTTTTGTTTTTTTCCAGAAAAAAAATTCTAAAATTCATATGGAATCTCAAAGGATTTTGAATTACCAAAACAATTTTGAAAAAGAACAAATTTGGAGGTTTCATACTTCCTGATTTGAAAACGTATTACATATTAGGCTAAGTTGGCCAAGGGGGTAGAGGGTGGGGGAACCACACAAAATATATTACAAAGCTACAGTAATCAAAAAAAGTGAGGTGCTGGCACAAAAATAGACAGAGACCAAAGGAACTGAACAGAGAGCTCAGAAATAAACTCACATATATGGTCAAATAATCTTCAACAAAACTCCCTAAACCACACAATGGGATAAGGACAGCCTCTTTAATAAATGGTGCTGGGAAAACTGGATATATACATGCAAAAGAATGAAGATGGACTCTGACAAAATATATAAAAATTAACTCAAAATTGACTAAAGATTTAAATGTAAGACCTAAAACTAAAAAATTCCTACAAGAAAACACAGGGAAAAAGTTTCATGACATTAGATTTGGCAATGATTCTTTTGTACATGACACTAATAGCACAGGTCAGAAAAGCAAAAATAAACAGAACTGCATCAAACTTAACTTCTGTATATGAAAGGAAACAATCAAGAGAAAAGGAAACAAAGAATGCAAAAAAGTTGCAAATAATTTATATGATAAGGGTCAATATTCAGCATATATAAAGAATGCCTACAACTTAGTAATAACAACAAAAATAAGGAACTTGATTTAAAAATAGGTTAAGAACCTGAAGAGATTTTTCTCCAAAGGAGATATATAAATAGCCAACAAGCATATGAAAAGATGTTCAACATCACTAGTCATTAGAGAAATGCAAATCAAAACTATAATGAGGTATCACATACATCCATGAGGATGGTCACTATCAAAAGAACAGAAAATAATACGTTAATGAGGTTTTGGGCAATCTGGAACTCTTGAGCACTACTGGTATAAATGTGAAATGGTACAGCCTCTATGAAGAACAGAATAGGGGCTCCTCAAATATCTAAAGGTATTACCATACAACCTAGTAATTCCTCTTTTGGGTATATACGCAAAACAATTAAAAACAGGATCTCGAAGAGATAGCTGCACTCCCGTGTACACTGCAGCATTATTCAAAATAGCCCAAAGATAATAATGGCCCAAACATTCATCAACAGATCAAATAATAATAAAAATAAAACCACAAAAGGGTAGCATGAGGGAATACACTTATGGTGATGTAACAATTTTATATCTTGACTGTGATGGGGGCTACATAAATCTATACATGTGATCAAACTGCACGGAAGCATAAACACTCACAGACAGACATGCACGCACAATGAATTTTTACATACACATGTAAAAACTGGTAAAAACTGTTAAGTCTAAAAACTACTTAACAAAATTGTCAATTTCTTCGCTTTGATACTATACTACAGTGATAAGATTTCACCACTCGGGGAAGCTAGGGGAAGAGTTCATACGGCTCTATGTACTATTGCTGTAAAAACAGGAAAGAATATATGAACATGCATCAGTACAGAAAACCTCTAGGAAAAATGATTACTATTTATTGGTATTGGCAATTTACTATGTGCCAGATAATGGAACTATCAATATGAAGAAATGGAACTTGTTCAAATAAAAAAATTAAAAACAAAATTCAGTAGGAAAAGAAAATAAATCCAACTAAAAACTATAATGCAATATACAAAGACTATATTAAAATATGAATAATAAAGGAAATAACAGAAGAGTAGCAAAATGATAAACAAAGGAAAAATGAAGGAAACAATAAAAAGCAAAAGTCAGACTATGGAAGTCAATTTATGCTATAAAGTTTGGACTTAATTGTATACTTTAAAAAATATTCAAACTGTTTAAGGCAATAAAGTGACTTAATCTAATCTCTGTATATTACAATTAGAGCATAAAAGAGGTCTGACTACATGGGGAAGAAAGAAAGGGGAGAACAGGAACACTATAGGCAGTAGAATACTAAAATACTTTGGGGAAAATAGTAAGAGACCATACTGGGAAACTGACAAGAATGCAAAATGAAAGAAACAAGGTAAGACAAATCCCTGAAGCCTAATTTTAAAGATGGACAGAAAATACAGCTTCAAGAATTGCATAACCTAAGGGGCCAGGCATAAAGGCTCATGTCTGTAATCCCAGCACTTTGGGAGGCCAAGGTAGATGGACACCTGAGGTTGGGAGTTCAAGACCAGCCTGGCCAACATGGTGAAACCCTGTCTCTACTAGAAATACAAAAATCAGTCAGGCATGGTGGTGGGCACCTGTAATCCCAGGTACTTGGTAGGCTGAGGCAGGAGAATCAATTGAACTCGTGAGGCAGAGGTTGCAGTGAACAAAGATGGTGCCACTGAACTCCAGTCTGGGTGACAGAGAGACTTCATCTCAAAAAATAAATAAATAAATAAAAAAGAATTGCACAACCTAAAATAAAATATAAATGTTGATATATGAGAATAGTAAATGAGGATTTGAAAGGGGTTCATTAGTTCTAGGGCTGAAGGCACACAAATTACATACAGGAGTACACAGTATGAAAGCAAATTTCAGATTTGTAATACAGACTTTCCTCCTAATTCAGCATTTTCTAAGATTACCACTTAAGAGAGCTAAATATTAATTATGCAAGAATAGAAAACTTTACTTCATGTCTTTTCTTAAGATCTTCTTTGGCTGCTTCAAAGCGTTTGGTTAGCCTGGCTATCTTGGCCTGAAAAAAAAAAAAAAGACAAAAACGAATGGAAATCAAATGGTATTATAGCATTTAAAAAAAAAAAAACATAAATACATAACAAGAAACCTATAGAAAGCAGGATCCTCAGAAGACAGCTGAGCAAAGAAAATAAATTAAGCTGATTATAAAATATACACTTGGAAAATATCGTTATGACTAAAACTAAGTGACCCCTAAATTCAATACTCAGATGTAAACACTCTTAATTAGGTTAGCCTATTTCTTCCTCGAACTGTGAGTGTTGCTCACTTACCAGTACATTCCTGATTATGTAAGCCTGTGTTTTGTTATTTTTTTAACACAGTTGCAATCACACTTGATTTTCTCACTGAGAATTATAAAGTGGACATATCTATAAGTCATAAAAGATCCCTTGCCAATACTACATATGGATGGATGTATAGGCTTTACTGTGACACTTTCAACAGAAGTGTAGATGAATGTTCATATATTACTTTTTCACAAATTAAATTACATATTCTGTTAATCTGTTAACAATCTGATAAAAACGTTACCTTGGCTAGGCATTGTGGCTCCCACCTGTAATCCCAGCACTTTAGGAGGCCGAGGTGGGTGGATCACCTGAAGTCAGGAGTTCGAGATCAGCCTGGCCAAAATGGTGAAACCCCATCTCTACTAAAAATACAAAAATTAGCCATGGTGGTGCGTGCCTGTAATCCTAGCTACTCAGGAAGCTAAAGCAGGAGAATAGCTTGAATCCAGGAGGCAGAGGTTGCAGTGAGCCAAGATGGCACCACTGCACTCCAGCCTGGGCAACAGAGTGAGACTCTGTCTCAAAAAAAACCAAAAAACAAAAAACAAACAAAAAACCCATTACCTTGTTTGTGTCAACACGGTCAGTGAGATTACTAATTATTTGTTGTGCTTATATAAACTCCCTGATCACATATTTTGCCCAAATACATACTGAAAGGAAATCTGAGAGGAAAAAAAGCAGAACAAAAATAAAAATAATCATTTCACCACATGAATATTTGGTTGTATCTCCTTTCAGTCTTTTACTAAGCATAGACGTAATATTCAACTGTTTCTGTTGCTGCTGCTGCTGAAGCCATTTTAAATTAAACATATTTTCAAGAAAATTACACTTCTGAGTGTATTCATGAGGCCCTACCTAAGGAAGAGCTCTGCCAGAGAATTTCTTTTATCTAATAAGGGCATTCACTTCATAAAAATGAGAAAAAGTTATGATTTACTTTTAAAGTTTCTTTCAGAAAGCAGTCACTTCTAGAGGAGACCCCAAATCTTAAAATGTGCTTAAGTCCAATATTATGGCCTAGGCAATCAGTTACCTATGACTCTCAAAGGTAAAGATTTTCCTAAGGACTTAGTTATTTATGCATGTTATTAAGGCTCAAGATCATAAAGCATAATTTCATGTCCTTAATATGGATCTACCTTTCTGATAACTAAAATATGTCATATAACTTTCTAAAAAGGTATATGGTGCAGTGGCTCACGCCTATAATCCCAACACTTTGGAAGGCCAAGGTGGGTGGATGGGTGACAAAGTGAAACTCTCAAAAAAAAAAAAAAAAGAAAGAAAAGAAAAAAGAAAAAGATAAGAAAGGTATATGGGAAGGGGAAGGTATTTTCTGTACCCCAACTTATGCGAGAATGTCAATTTTCCTTTAGTCAAATTATCTAGGTGGGGCCAGGCGCAGTGGCTCACGCCTGTAATCCCAGCACTTTGGGAGGCCGAGATGGGTGGATCACAAAGACCAGCCTGGCCAACATGGTGAAACCCCATCTCTACTAAAAATACAAAACTTAGCCAGGTGTGGTGGCGTACGCCTATAGTCCCAGCTATTTGGGAGGCTGAGGCAGGAGAATTGCTTGAATCCAGGAGGCAGAGGCTGCAGTGAGCCAAGATCGCGCCACTGCACTTCAGCCTGGATGACAGAGCAAGACTCTGTCTCCAAAAAAAAAAAAAAAAAAAAAAAAAAAAATCTAGGTGGTTATACTATAAATTGCACAGTATGCACAATGTTATTATTCTATTTTTACTTAAGCCCTCCCCCAAAATCATCTTGTATATGTTACATGTATAGAAAAATATCTATAAGGATACATTCCACGGTTAAAAGTAGTCACCCCTGGAAGCTATGATTGGCAGAAAGTGGGAAAGAAAGTGAACTAAGGACCTCACTTTCACATCATATAGATTTGTAGTATTCAAACTCTTTTTTAAAAGAATTATCATTTTAAAAATGAAACTAGTAGCAGAAAAACAAACTCAAAATGTGGACACTGATTTATAGTTTTCTGATATGTAATATTATAAAACAGAAAAATCAAAGAGCAGCCTTTTTGTTTTTACATAGGAAGCTGTACAATTCTTTTTTAATTATAATTCAAAATATCTGCCATACTGTGTCCAAGAATGGCTATTCTGGTAAATATTCTGAGACATTTTTAAAAAATAAATAAACAAGTCATTTTTGTAACTCCAGGAAAGTAATATTCTATCACATTGGGTTTTACTTGGGAAACTAGACAAACCAAGAATTTCACTGCATATGTACCTTTAGGAAATAACTCTGTCTACAAAAAACAGAAGGTTTCCTTAACATCAAGGTTGGCCTATAACAAAATATTGCTGCTCATAAAAGCAAGTGAATAAACAGACCCACAGTTTCTATTATTTAAAACTGTCTCCGTATTAGGCTATCATAAATTTACTTAATTGATAGGGAACAGGAGCCGAGGTTGAAAGGAAAAAGTAAAATACACATTTTCAGTTAAATCTACTTAAAACGGCATTTTCTAAATCATAACCAATGGAATGTTATATTCCAGAGTGTGCTGACAGCTTTTCCATTTCCGTAAGAAATCTAGTTGAAATTCCAAGTATTATGAATTTGAACTATACTGTGATTTGAGAGGAATCAAGTCCTCCTATCTAAGAGCATAGTACTATTGACTCCTGTTTTCTTGTTCCGTTCTTTTTCTTCATAATGGTCTTAATAATTTATTCTTAAGTGCTTACTCATTTTTAAATAACTACCATATGTGAAACCTTTTTCTCATTATGTTTTCTAATTGGTTATTGTTGATGTAAGGAGAACTATTAGAATATGTTGTTCTTATATGAAGTAGTTGCTGTATTTCCTTCTTCATTCAACCGTTTGTCAACTGAATTCTATTGGGTTCCCACTTACCAATTGTTACTCATTTCTTTTTCCTGTCTCATTGTATTGCCCAAGACTAATACCAAATCTCTAAATAGCAGCATCTATTAATAGGCATTGTCTCATTCTCAACTTTAGTAGATATATTTCCAATAATTCATTATTAAATATGATATTTACAATAGGTTTCTGAAAGCAACCCTTTAAGAGATTCAAGGTATTTACCTCCTATGTTTTCCACGAATGACCAGTAAATTTTAACAAATCCGGATTTGGCATGTACTGAGATGATCACACTGTTTTTCACCTTTCCTACATTAGCAGAGTGACATATAATTGTTAATACTGAACTAGGCTTGCATTCATAAGAGAAATCTATGCTGGGGAATACAACTAAACTATGTTTTTGTCTCTTCTTGTGCTAGAGGTTTCACAGATGGGCTTACTTCATCAAATGGATGTCTCATCTTTCTCCATACCCGGAAACAGTTTACATCACACAAGAATTATCTGTTCCTCAATGACTTGCCAGAATTATCTGGCAAAGCTTTCTGGGTTCCATGACTTCTTCAGAAATAAATCTTTGACTACAGTTTTGATAGAGTTCCTCAAAACCTAGCTTTCCTGATTCCTTTTCTGAGACACAGTCTCGTTCTGTTGCCCAGGCTGGAATGCAGGGGCACAATCTCAGCTAATTCCAACTTCTGCCTCCCGGGTTCAAGAGATTCTCTTCCCTCAGCCTTGCTAGTAGCTGGGATTACAGGCAAGGGCCATCACGCCAGGCTGATTTTTGCATTTGTAGTAGAGACGGGATTTCACTATGTTGGCCAGGCTGGTCTCAAATTCCTGACCTCAGGTGATCCACCTGTCTCAGTCTCCCAAAGCGCTGGGATTACAAGCATGAGCCATCGCAACCGGCCTCCTGCTTCCTTTTTATATACAACAGATTTCATTGGTACAAAGTTGTTAACATAAAAATGTTCTTAAAGAATCTCTTCTGGATCTTGCCTTCTTTTCTAATCCTTGTGCAGTTTATTTGTACTTATTTTAATTCTAGGTCAAAGACTTATCAGACCAATAGAACAATTTGTCTCAGATGTATTCAACTGAACAATTTGTCCCTGGATAATTATACTAAAACATATTAAGCCAAAAGTCAAAATATCATATTAGCTAACAGGAAATTGTTCTGAAATATGCAGTAAGAACAAATTGAAAGTTTTATTTCCAAATCAACTACACCACATAAATTTGGCCAAAATGAGCACAACAGATCTCAACAAACTCCTCTCATTGTTGTGCACTATGCTTTATATTTGTTATAACAGGACTCGATTTGCTAAGTGTTACTGTACGCAGAGTGAAGGGCAAAATCGGGCTGAACTATGTACGCATTGCAAAACAGGCAGCAAAGTTTGGGTAGAACGGTTGCCAACAATTGCTACATGGGTACTATCCACACCAAAAAAACATATTTCCCTCTCTAGAGCACAACCATAATGATGCTTGATTTTGTATGCTATTGAAAACAAGTAAATATTAATTCAAACCTAACTGTTATAAAGTTAAGATGTTAAGTGTAATCCTGAGGGTAATCACTAAGGAAAAAACTAAAAATATATATAAGAAGAGAAACAAGATGGAATCAAAATGATATACTAAGAAAAAATCAATTGCAAAACAAAGCAGTAATGGAGAAAATAGAAACAAAAAAGGTATCAGACATAGAAGAAATGACAAATTGCAAAAGTTTTTCCTTATTAGTAACTACTTTAAATGTAAATAAACTCCCTGATTAAAAAGCAGAGATTGGTGGAACTGATAATAAATCATGACCAAACTATATACCATCTGCAAGACTTCATCAAAATTTAAAACTTTTGTGCAACAAAAGGCATTAAGAAGTTGTAGACAAATTACAGAATGGGAGAAAATATTTGCAATCACATATCTAATAAGAGTTTGGTATCCTGGGCCGGGCGTGGTGGCTCACGCCTGTAATCCCAGCACTTTGGGAGGCTGAGGTGGGCAGATCATGAGGTCAGGAGATCGAGACCATCCTGGCTAACACAGTGAAACCCCATTTCTACTAAAAACACAAAAAATTGGCCAGGCATGGTGACAGGCGCCTGTAGTCCCAGCATGGGAGGCTGAGGCAGGAGAATGGTGTGAGCCCGGGAGGCGAAGCCTGCAGTGAGCTGAGATCATGCCACTGCACTCCAGCCTGGTGACAGAGCAAGACTGCTTCTCAAAAAAAAATTTAAAAAAAAAAGAGTTTGGTATCCAGAACATATAAATAATTCTTATGACTCAACAACAAAAAGGCAAAAAATCCAAATTAAAAATGGGCAAAGGACTTTAACAGGCATTTCTATAAACAAGTACATATGATTGATCAACAAGCACATGAAAAGATGAAGTTAACATCATTTATCATTAGGGAAATGCAAATCAAAACCCTAATGAGATACCACTTCATACCATTCTGATGCTATAAGAAAAAAATGAAAGTAAAAATAACAAGTGTTGGTGAGGATGTGGAGAAATGGAACCCTCATACATTGCTGGTGGGAACAGAAAATGATATAGCCACTGTGGACAACAGTTGGGTGATTCTTCAGTAAGTTAAACAAAGAATTACCATATGGCCCACAATTCCATACCTAGGTATATGCCTAAAAGATTTTAAAACAAGTATTCAAACAAATACTTGTATACAAGCTCAAAGCAGCATCAGTCACAATAGCTGAAAGTAGGAACAACCCAAATGCCATTCAAAGGATGAATGCATAAACAAAATGTGGCATACATCACCACATAATGGAGTATTATTTAGCCCTAAGAAGGAATGAAGTACTGATACATGCTACAAACACAGATTAAGCTGGAAAACATGCTAAGTGAAAGAGGCATGTGAAATATGCAAAATAGGTAAATCCATAGAGACAGCAGATTAGTGGTTGCCAAGGGCTAGTGTAAGAGGAAAAGAAGAGCAAGTGTTTAACGGGCAAAATGTTTCCTTTTGAGTTGACAAAAATGTTTTGAAATGCGATAGATAGTGGTCGTATAAAATTGTGAATGTACTAAATAACAATGAATTGTACACTTTAAAACAGTTTGGTATCTGAATTTTATTTCCATAAAAAAACATAAACACTGAAACAAGACACAAAGAGATGGGAATTAAATTGGGCTTGGTAACATTTTAAAAATAATACAGTGAGGGCACATGATTACGGGTGCATGAACAGGGGAAACAATATGAAGTCAAAAGCCTGGTATCAAAATACAATAAACATTAATAGTACCCCGTAGGCAGTGAAGCAACTGGTGGATATTAGAAAAAATGGATGGAAAACTAAGAGATTAAAATTTAAAAATGTAAAAAATGAATACTGGTTTTACTGGTACACAATTGAGGAACTTGGACTACAAAGAGACTGAAGTAATCAGTATTCAGAAAAATTAGTACAATGCTTTGGAAGGACCAGCAAGAAGTTAAAAACTAGTACCAGAGTGCTCATATAAAAGGTGTTACTATAATCAGGGAATTGGGTAATGATGGCCTAATGAAAAGTGAAAAGAATCGAGATTTTTTTTTTCTAGGAAATAATCAAGTTGTAGCTTGGCAACTCACTTTGTATATGAAATGACTGAGGGATCGGTTTCCAAGAATTCAAGAGCTGCCAATAAGAGGAACAATGGGAAGATTTTTCTTCAAGAGTTTTCCAAGAATTCAGAAATTGTCAGTAAGAGGAACATTTGCAGAGAAGCTAATTGGCTTGGTGTTAGAAAGATTCAAATTCTGAGACTACAAGCAACACCTAAATACAAATTTAAATGTTAAGAAATCTGGATTGCACCTTATGTGTGAGATGATAGGTGTCAAAAATTCAGGTTTTAGTATGTATGTATGTATGTATGTATGTATGTATGTATGTATTTTGGAGACAGAGTCTCACTCTGCTGCCCAGCCTGGAGTGCAGTAGCACGATCTCAGCTCACCGCAACCTCCACCTCCTGGGTTCAAGCAATTCTCATGCCTCAGCCTCTCAAGTAACTGGGACTACAGGCACACACTACCACACCCGGCTAATTTTTTGTATTTTTAGTACAGACAGGGTTTCACCATATTGGCCAGGCTGGTCTCGAACTCCTAGACTCAAGAGATTCGCCCTCCTTGGCTTCCTAAAGTGCTGAGCTCACAGGCGTGAGCCACTACACCCAGCCAAAAACTCAGGTTTTAAAAACACAATTTCATAGTTGCACCTGTGGGTGTGATGAGAAACAATGAATAAAATTATTCTTTCAAATCTTCAGGCATTTTCAAATTTAATTCAAAAGTTTGAACAGTAATAGTAAAATGAAGTTTAATAATTAGATTGGTCAGTCTGGGAGATACACTTAAATTCTAATCCTATTTAGCTAAAATTTCATTCATAATGGAAAAAGTGATTTAACTTCTATAGGCCACTTTTCCCTCATTTGCAAAATAAGGCCCTATACATGGTTTACCACTCAGCATCTTTGGGATATGCTCATATATAAAATAACCCAATAGGAAACATACACTTACTTATGACAGAATGAATGTACTGATTCAAATACTAGCTTCTTAGCTTTGGAATAAAGTACTACAGCACACCACTATGTGCTCATTTCAGCTGACCAGAAGCTCTGGTATTGTGTGTTAAGATATAGTTGTACTTAATAAAAAATGCAAAGTAGAATTAATAAATATGTGTTATTAAACTAACATCTTTAAAACATAAGGTCCACCAAAGGAGGCAGATTAACATAAAAAGAATCCCTAACAAATATTATTTAGTATTTATTACAGCATGCTAAATGACAGCCTTCTTTTAGTGACTGGAAAACAAAATATGAAGCACTAAGTTAGATCCAGTAATTTCTGAGTCTCTGTTATGGTTTGAACTGTGTCCCCTAGAAGTTCACATACTGAAGTCTAAACTTTCAGTATTTCAGACTGTGACCTTATTTGTAAAGGTCATTGCAAAGGTAATTAGTTAAGATGAAGTCATGTTGGAGTATAGTGGGCCCCTACTCCAATGACTGGTGTCCTTGTAAAAAGGGGAAATTTACAAACAGACACACACACAAGGACAACACCATGTAAAGATAAAGCCAGAGATCAGGGTGATGTTTCTACAATGCCAAAGAACTGTCCGCAAACCAAAAGAAGTTAGCGTAAAGGCACAGAACAGATTCTTCCTCACAGCACAGCCCTCAAAAAGAACCTACACTGCCGACACCTTGATCTTCAACTTCTAAATATTTCTACTGTTTAAACCACTCAGTTTATTGTACTTTCTTTACAGCAGCCCTGGCAAACTAAACGAACTCCTTTTACTTCTTATATTTAGATTTTAAATGTATTTTATAGTCAATCTCAAATATATATCTCAGAAAATAAGTTATAAAAACAATGACAAATGGAGTACAATTCAAGTCAATGTACAAACCTGTAGTTCAGTGAGAACTGTTTTATGCCTCTTGTTACATTCAATCTTTTCCACTCGTGTTTTCAATTCTGCCAAAGTCTTATCAAATACAGCACACTGCAGCGCACACAATTTTTCTTCCAGCAACCACTGTATAACCTAAAGAAACAAATATTCCTTCATTATGCCAAGAAGGCATTCCAACAAGCAATAAACAGTAAATATTCTTAAGTACCAAGAAGACAGTAACGATAAATTAACTAACTTAATGAATAAAACATGCTAGAATCTGTAACACAATACTATCTGCTAAAATTCTCTACTTTTATATATATAAAATCTACTTCAAGAGGGTAATACATACTAAAAATAGAAAATTTCCAGAGAGTAAACTTTTGAAAAATTTCCATATTCTCATTATGGGACCACAAAAAAGACACTGGCACATATCCATGAACCATACTTGAGTAACACTGTTCTAAAGAAGTAAACTCTCAGGAAACCTCAGTTTTCAAAATTTTTCACATAGCTACCTTCATAATTCTAACAGCTCTGTAAGAAAGACTGAATAAGCATTATTATCTCCATATGTCAAATAAAAAGAAACTAGGGGAAAAAACAACACTGAGAGTTTCTACTGCCACACTATTCTTTTTTCTACAAAGTGCAAATATGTATGCCATATTTTAATTAAAGAATGTTGTCCTAAAACATTGATTGTAAAATGTCATCCTTAAATATATAGACCTTGAAAAACTAGTTATCATCGAAGTTTAATATTCCTCTCTAAGAAAAGCATTTGTACAAACATTTGTGAATATATGTTGATAAACATATAAAATACTGAATATTTTCATTATTTCTATCTCTAGTCGAACAGATGTAAGGAGAATTTCAAACTCCGTACTTTACTCCTTTCTCTAGTCCTTTTAAAACCCTGTCTCTACCACTTTTATACTAACCCTAAAGTACACAATAAAGAGTTTAGAATGTAGAGACTTATAACTATGAAACCAGCTTTAAAAAGATTAAAATGTTAATATTTAAAACTCTAACATTTCCTTTTCACAGTTAAGATAAAGTGCAATATGAGAAGGAAAAAGAAAAGCTGAAAAACAACATTCAGTTTTGTTACCAAAGCAAATAAATAAAAATGTTACCTTCTCTCCCTTCTGTTCTGATAATCATAAGCATTTTTGTAAAAAAAGATGTAGCCAAAAATAAGTCAGAAGGAATTTTAAAATTAAATTATCAAGGATAGTAATAGACTTAATTATTTGTTTGTTTATTTTTTAAGATGGAGTCTTGCTCTGTCACCCAGGTTGGAGTAAAGTGTTGTGATCTCGGCTCACTGCAACCTCCACCTCCCAGGTTCAAGTGATTCTCCTGCCTTAGCCTCCCAAGTAGCTGGGATTACAGGCACCCACCACAACATCCAGCTAATTTTTCTATTTTTAGTAGAGTCAGACTTTCACCATGTTGGTCAGGCTGGTCTCGCCTGACTTCAGGTGATCCATCCACCTCAGCCTCCCAAAGGGTTGGGATTATAGGGGTGATCCACCACATCTGGCCAGTAATAGACTTTAAAAGCTCAACCACTTTCTTCAAGTTCTTTCTTTCTATGATAAACCACATTAGGTCAATAAAATACAGAATAATGCCAGAAACCTAGAAGAAGACAGTGGTGCTACTTATTCAATATGGTTTATAACTTATAATTGACACGATACCTTTTGAAGTTTCTGGTTAATGTCTCCTTTGGCCGTAATCTTTACTTGAAATTCTGCCTCATATTCTTCTTCCATATATCGACGACGTTTAGACTGTACATTGTCCATGTCTTCTGATTTAGAACGTTTTCGTCTGGAAAATTCATCTGAGAAGAAAAACCACAATGATCACACTCAGGTGTTTTTCTTATAGCTCTTAATGCGTATTATCCATCCTCAGCAAAATATTGTTTCTATCACAATAGCCTTCTCAACCAACTATTTTGTAAATTGTTTTGGAGATCAGAAAAGTAGGTATATAGCTTTTAGCTTTAAACTTCAAATGACTTTCAATATACTAAATAAGAACTTTCTAATGGTCAAGCAATGCATACTTTGAACACAAAATTTCCTTGAAATCTTCACATTAAGAAGGAGAACTGCCTCACAATTGTGTCATGAAGAAGGTAGGTGAAATCATCTCATATTCATTCCTGTAACTAAATATCACAGTGCACATGAATCCTCTGACAAAATATTGTATTCATTATCACGTCAGATTTTTAACTACGCACAGCTTTATTTATTCTTCTTCCTCCGTAAGTACAGGAAAAAATTCTTAATCATCAGCCTTACAAAACTAGCATAGTTATTTTTAACATATCCTAATGAATTCAAATAAAAATAAAATTAACGTCATTAAAAGTACATTTATAAAGAATATAGATTAGAAGATTTCACTTAGAAAATTTGTTTCAAGTGTTGTTAATATTCATGAGATCATAAGCAAATTGTATCTGGTTTCTTCAATATCTAAAAAAATTAAAACACTAATATCTTCATACTTTTTAAATGCAAATGCTCTTATGTGACCATGCTTATCCCTCTGTATATATCTGTATCTATGTGCCTACTTTTAAATTCACTGTATTCCACAATTTCTCTTATAATCTTAACTTACCCATGGTCACAGATGGATAGCAGCATGACAGGAGAGTTATTGAACCCAGCTTTCCTGACTTCTAGTCCAATGATCTTTCTATAAACCTAAGGACACGCAGTTCACCATTTCCCTCCCTTCCCATAAAGCTAAAGAACCTTCCCTTTCCCTTTTCCTTCTTTCCTTCCTTCCCTCTTCTTTTCTTCCTCTCTCTCCCTCCCTCCCTCCGTCCCTTCCTCCCTCCTTCTCTCTCTCTCTCTCTCTTTCACAAGGTGTCACTCTGTCACCCAGGCTGGAGTACAGTGGCTGAATCACTAATCATTGCTCACTGGAACTTCAAATTCCTGGACTCAAGCAATACTCCCACTGCAGCCTCCCAAGTAGCTAGGACTACAGGTGTGTGCCACCATGCCTGGCTAATTCAAATATTTTTTCTGCAGAGACAGGTTCTTGCTATGTCGCCCAGGCTGGTCTTACATTCCTGGCCTCAAGCAATCCTCCCAAAGTGCTGGCATTACAGGTGTGAGCCACTACATCCGGCCCCATGAAGATAAAGAACCTTAAGTAAACTAAAATACATCCTTCCATTTACTTATGTTAGCCCATACAAAATTCTTGTAGTTTCATTCTCTGAACATAAATGTAAAACAATTTCTATCTCAAAACAGTCAGTACCTTAGTAAATTTTAAGCTAAATCTTTCTGAGGAACAATAAAAAGTATAAATAAACAAAATAAAATATTGAAGTGTATGAAACATACTTTCAGAAATCCTTCAGTTAGCCATCAACAAAATGCTATAGTTGTGGCTTACTTAAATTGCAAAATTTTACAATTATTTCATGGGCAAAAAATAATATTACATGGTTGTAAATATAGAAACAATGAATTAGTATTTTTCAACCCAGTTCAAGTTTGTTTATATACGCATACTTTTCTCAGAAGGTCTTTCATCTTCTTCATGTATTACTTGCTCTTCTTCTTCAGGTTTGCTGTCCTTTTCATTACTTTCTACTTCTGCTGTTAACAAATATAGAAAAGAAGTCTTACTTCTACTGGAATTCGTAACAGCTCACTAATTTACATTTTTAGTCACTATCCAGTTACAAAACTAACCTTTTATGAAATCAGAGTCCCAAAATGTAAAATTTGGGGAGGGAAAAAGGGGAGCAGGAACTGGTCGAATGAATGACTAAGTCCATATTCAACTGTTCTGCAATTCACAACAAACTCAACACAGAATTTAATCTTAATATAGATTTTAAGTAACTTAAAAAAAATTACTTAATTTTCTGTCACCAATAACATTAATAAAATGTGAAAACAACTGCTGTAGAGCATTTTGATTCCTCTACATTCAACAATTAAAACTAAAATAGTGCCTGTGACAATTATCAAAAAAATTCCAAAGTACTGGAGCATTCAAAACACCTAATATGTTGAACATACAGGTTGAATCATTAAGTTACTTTAATGCTTATGGTATAGAGAGTTCATAAACAAGGAATGGAAAGGCTATCCCAAATATAAGAAAAACTTTAAACATATACCTACTTTGATAACAGTGCCAACAACTGAGCTGGGTGCTTAATATAGTTATCACATTGCCACAATATAATCTCACACTGTAAACTATTTTTTGTCTTCACATAAACGAGGAAAACATTCAGAAGGGTTAATTTTCTTTTCTTTTTTTTTTTTGAGACTGAGTTTCGCTCTCGTCGCCCAGGCTGAAATGCAGTGGGGTGATCTTGTCTCACTACAACCTCCACCTCCCGGGTTCAAGCAATTCTCCTGCCTTAGGCTCCTGAGTAGCTGGAATCACAGGCACCCACCACTACGTCCGGCTAATTTTTTTGTTTGTTTGTTTGTTTTGAGATAGAGTGTCACTCTGTCGCCAGGCTAGGGTGCAGTAGCATGATCTCGGCTCACCACAACCTCCACTTCCCAGGTGCAAGCGATTCTCCTGCCTCAGCCTCCCGGGTAGCTGGGACTACAGGCGCCCGCCACTAGGCCCAGCTAATTTGTATTTTTAGTACAGATGGGGTTTTACCATGTTGGTCAGGATGGTCTTGATCTCCTGACCTCGTGATCCGCCTGCCTCGGCCTCCCAAAGTGCTGAGATTACAGGCATGAGCCACCACGCCCAGTCTAATTTTTTGTATTTTTAGTAAAGACAGGATTTCATCATGTTGGGCAGACTGGTCTCCAACTTCTGACCTCAGGTGATCTGCCCACCTCAGCTTCCCAAAGTGCTGGGATTACAGGCGTGAGCCACCATGACTGGCCCAGAAGGGTTAATTTGCATGACTCATATAAAATGTAACAACTGAAGAGTGCTGCCAAAAGATACTGCTAAAAATGTCTATGCAATTATATTAAATAAAATCCAAGAGGTACCAAAATGTTGTTTTGGTCAATCAATGTCTCTTCAACTAACCTACTCATTAAATGAGGAATAAGGGAGCTACAAAAAAAAAAATCACTAAGATATCTGACTTCTATTTTTCTCCCTATGTCATTGCAACTTGCTTCTCAGTGGCTTCAATCAAGCATACTATGTTTCATCATGTTCTGCAACTAGTATTAAATAAATAATCATAAAGTATATCATGCTATATAAAGATTCTGATACGACATTTCTTCTCCAATCATCAGGGTTTTAATCACAACAGCCCTAATAGCAAAAGTCAAAGGTTAAAAAAATTTAAAAGATACTTTTAGGTGAAAATATGTAGGGAAAAGGATCATTGATGAATACCTATTAAGGCGCTAGAAGTATTTTTTTCATTCTAAGATAAACAATAAGCTAACATAGTACACAGGATTACTAAAGCTATTTTTGAACTTTAAAATAAATTATTTGAAAAGTAACTCTCCATTTACTACCCTTTGCTCATTTTAAGTGTTTTAAGACCTCATCTCTCAACTTCAGTTTCAGTGAAATAAAAATTTATGTTTGCTTTCTTGTAAACAGATCACAAACTCATTAAAACACATTCTTTCTCTATATATCTTTCCGTATCTTCCTGATTTTAATACTGAGTGTTGGTAACTCCTGAGCTTCCTAGTCCCCAGAGTTTCCAGAGAGACAGAGTAACTGGGTTGCTTGAGATAAAAGGTTTACATAGTCTTTATTGAGCAAATCCTCGCATCGCACAAAGCACAAAATTAGCCATGGCTCCAATTAGAGTGACTCCAAGCCAGAGCATCCAGAACACAGCAGAGTAAATTGGCCTGGTATGGTTTGTCTCTTTTATACGCATGTCAGTTTCCTCTCTGTATGTCAAGCTCAGCTTGAGATTTCTTCATCTTATTCAAAAACCTCCTCCTATTACCCAACTCCCAGTTTCCAGATATGCTTAGAAGATATTACTGGATTCCCAACACTTAAAACACACAGGATTCACAGAATTAAAATACATGCTAGAGGTTTATGTAACGGAAAGACCTTGGAATTTAAAAAATGGTAGTAACAGATTCTACAGAGACGGGTAGGGACTTGTATTTCTTTAATTTTATTTTGTTCACAAAGCCTGAAGAAAACCTGAGAATGGGTCTTCTTCAACCCAGAGTAATAATCCAAGGCCCTTGGTACACAGACAACTTTAGACATAATTTCAGGTAGTTCCTGGGACTCCTGAAACTCACCCAAATAGTAGGTTAAGAATGACTTTTTTACTGACGGGTGCGGTGGCTCATGCCTGTAATCTCAGCACTTTGGGAGGCCGAGGTGGGCGGATCACAAGACCAAGAGATTGAGACCATCCTGGCTAACATGGTGAAACCCCGTCTCTACTAAAAATATAAAAAATTAGCTGTGCATAGTGGCACGTGCCTGTAGTCCCAGCTACTCGGGAGGCTGAGATAGGAGAGTCACTTGAACCCGGGAGGCAGAGCTTGCAGTGAGCCGACATGGTGCCACTGCACTCCAGCCTGGGCGACAGAGTGAGACTCCATCTCAAAAAAAAAAATAAATAAATAACAATAATGTCTTTTTTAGAATCTGTCCTTACTTACAGATAAGTTTCTGTTATAATTCCTCTGATTTTCTTGAGTATAGCCTTATCACAATTTGGCAAGTTTTCATAGTTTCATGTGTGATATTCTTTCCTTTCAAGCAAACTAGACAGCTCATTAAGGGCAGATACCAGATCTCATAATTTTGGTAGTACCATAACTTTGAGAAATAGCTGAGACAATTAGATGTTTAATATTTATCAGAAGACTACTATCTTTAATAAGGTTCCATTAAGTAAAAGTAGAAAACTGTGTTTTTAAAGGATTACAAAATAGAATTTACATTAGGGGACTTAGTTTCCCATTTCAGAATTATACTTTATAGAACTTTATTCTAAGGAAAAATGGAGGACAAAAACCATTGCCTTAGATCAGCGACTGGCAAATCTTTTTTTGTAAGTGGCCAAAAAATAGGTATTTTCAATCTTGTGGGCCACAAGACCTCTGACACAACCTCTTAATTCTGTCCTTGTTGCAGGAATCAGCAGTAAGTGCTATGTGATATGTAAACAAATTACCATAGCTATGTTTCAATAAAATTTTATTTATAAAAACAGGGCTCACAGGCCAGTCTACTCCATTCCTGATTTAGATTACTGGCTCCATGAAAATATTTATAAAACAAGAAATTCCTACAGACTAATTAAAAACAATATCCATCAGAAAAATGGGCAAAGGAGATGAACAGGCAGTTCATAGATAAGGAACTACAAAAGGCCAATAAACATATAAAGATTCTTAACAAGATCTATCAGAAAAATGAAGCATGACTGGTAATGTCACTTTTCCAGACATTTTGTATTAGTTTTATTTAACCAATATAGAGTGGCAAATAATGTATCCTATGTGAATTTTTGTGCTCTCTTTAAAAGCAAAACCTGGGGGGGGGGGGGGTCACTTTTTTTTTTTTTTTTTTTTTCTTGAGACGGAGTCTCGCTCTGTCGCCCAGGCTGGAGTGCAATGGCGCAATCTCGGCTCACTGCAAGCTCCGCCTCCCGGGTTCACGCCATTCTCCTGCCTCAGCCTCCCGAGTAGCTGGAACTACAGGCGCCCGCCACTGCGCCCGGCTAATTTTTTCTATTTTTAGTAGAGACGGGGTTTCACCATGGTCTCGATCTCCTGACCTTGTGATCCGCCCGCCTCGGCCTCCCAAAGTGCTGGGATTACAGGCGTGAGCCACCGCGCCCGGCCAATTTTTTGTATTTTTTAGTAGAGACGGGGTTTCACCGGGTTAGCTAGGATGGTCTCGATCTCCTGACCTCATGATCCACTCGTCTTGGCCTCTGAAAGTCACATTTTTTTATATCCAATTCTGCCCCTCCCATTCTCTCTGAAATCCGAATCAGGTTTTCCACTCCATCATTCACCAAAACTGCCCCTTGGTAAAAGTCAACAATGATCTCCAGATTGTTAAATACTTCTCTTCCATCTTATGAGCACACACAGCAGCATTTGATATAGTAAACGGTTACCTTATTTCCTCCTCAAAACAGTGTCTTTACTTGGCTTCTGAAACACCAAAATCTCTCCATTTTCTTTCTACCTCAGGGGCTGCTCTTTCTCAGCTCCTTTGTTGGTTCTTCCTCATCTCCCCAACCACTAAACACTGAAATGCCAAAAGCTCAGTTGTTGGATCTTTTCTCCATGTATACTCACTCTGAGGTGATTTCATCTTGTTACCTAATAGCTACATGCTATCTACTACATTTTTCTAATGCAAGCCAAGTCTCTGATCTGAAATCCAGACTTACACATCTAACTCGGACAACAGTACTCATTTGAAAATGATCTTCCTCCTATTATACCTCCTTCCAAAATCTACTTCATCTTTGGTCTACCTCAACTCTGAAAAATCTGCAACTTGCACACTAGTGTACAGAACTAAGAAGCTCCACAAAGAGAAGCCAAGTACATAAGTAACAACTAAATATAAACGGATTGAGATGATAAAGAATTTTAACTGAAGTGACAACAAATTAACAGTAAATTGACTAAATCATGCCAATTCTATCAATACTAACCTACAGCAAAAATAGAAGTCTCAAATTCTAGTCTAATGTAATTATCCTCATTAGCATCAGTTTAATTAGCAACCACAGATTTTTATTTTAATCTGAAATAAAATCTGCAAGGAAACTATGTCAGTGTTTAATGTAAAAAATATCTGGTTTACTCTAAAACAGATTTTTCTCTTCAAAAATCTTATGTTTAAGGAAAAAAAAGCATGTGGAGGAGGCCTATCCCTATTTTTCCATGAAAAACAGAATGAGAAGGACCAAAACAGAAGGAAAGATGGAGAATGCAGTAACCCAAAAGCTAAGGAGAGCCTCAAGAGGGAAGGACTGTTATTAACAGGTCATCCAAGTATGGAAGAATAGATAAGACAAAGAAAAGATGTCCCTGTATTTAATAACATGATCATCAATGTCATTTCACTGAGAAAAATTAGGAGCGGGGCGGCTAGCAAGGCAGAAATCAAAATCCAATTAAGTGGAAGGGCTAACAGAAGAAGAAATGGTACTAGCTTTGTTAATATAACTTGAAGAATGGCTCTAAAAGAAAGGAGATGAAATAGTAGCTAGAGGAAAGTATACAGCATGGAGATGCAGCTCCTCTAGTGTTTGAACTTTCCCAGAGGGATAAATCTTTATTTTGCCATCCTTTTTAAACACATTATCATTTTAATAATTTAGTGAGTATCAGTTATAACATAGTACTATGCTACAATTCAATAGTGTCTCTAGACCTATTAAGGTGTATGTGTGTGTGTGTGTATATATATATGTGCACAACACTTTTTTAGTTCTTTCTTCTACTTTTGTAAAATTAAAATAGCTTTTCTATTTGCTTCATCTTTCATTATTTCTTGTTGCTGCTAATACACATCACAATTACTATATTTAAAACATATTTGCTAAACAAGTACCTGAAATGGCAGGTCATGCTATTTTCTGTTTACTACACTCATAGATGTTAGCAGCTAGAAGGAAGAGCCAGTACTGAAGCTGACTTTAGTACTTCAGCTAATAATTCTGTATTCTGAGTACATTAAAAATTAGTGAAGAATAAAGGCATTTATTTAAGTAACAATTCAGCAGGAGTACAGCAACATAAATGACATGCAACAGATTCTGCCACCATATAAAGAGAACAGAGTACAGTTTAAGAACCAATTAAGAAACTATTCTTAAACTCAAAATACACAAAATTACCTTCAGAGGAAGGGGAAAAGATACAAAATAAAAGTTTAGTTATGAGCCAAGAAATTAAATCTATCACTAAATGTACCCTGCTAATATAGCATATTAGATTAAAGGCCAAGTAACCAAAAATATTCCCAACTTTGAATTTTCGAAGTATGCAACACAGATGGCTTAATATTCATCTCTCAGCACTTCACTGCCTTGTGTGGGATACCCTCCAATATCAAGATTCTGACATAAAGGTAAGGTGTATAAACTCATTAAATCATAAGCTGCAATTTGCTTTTTTAACTTTCTTATACAGACCTTTTTTTTTAAAGGACTTATAAGGCTTTTAAGGACTTGCCCTAGTGCCTCACTCTGTATAAACACTTATAGAAAATGGATGAGTGAAATTCATTCTCAACACTGTCACCTATTATCTTTCCAAAATGTAAATTTCATTCTCCTCTGCTTGAAGTTCTTTATTGGCATTCCAGTGCCATCATAAAGCTTTAGCATTATAACCAAGGTCCTCCATGATATGCTTCTCTTACATTATTGATTATTCATTCACTTTACAAATATTTACTGGGCACTTATTGTGTGCCAGGCACCGTTTTGGCCTGATGACAGTGACTCAGAGCAGGAGTAATAACAGTTGTGAATTGGACTTTAGATCTATTATGGTAGTAGTACCAACAGAATTTCCTGATGGACTGATTATGGGGTGTGAAAGAAAAAATAAAAATGGTTTCAAGGTTTCTGGCCTGAGTAAGTAGGATGGAGCTGCCATTAAAAGGAATTAGATTCAGCCAGGTGCGGGGGCTCACGCTTATAATCCCTGCACTTTGGAAGGCCGAAGTGGGCGGATCACAAGGTCAGGAGTTTGAGACCAGCCTGACCAACATGGTGAAACCCCGTCTCTACTAAAAAATACAAAAAACTAGCCGGGCGAGGTAGCGGGCGCCTGTAGTCCCAGCTACTCGGGAGGCTGAGGCAGGAGAATGGCGTGAACCCAGGAGGCGGAACTTGCAGTGAGCCGAGATCATGCCACTGCACTCCAACCTGGGAGACAGAGCGAGACTCCGTCTCAAAAAAAAAAAAAAATACAAAAATTAGCCAGGTGTGGTGTCGCGCACCTGTAATCCCAGCTACTCATGAGGCGGAGGTGGGAGAAGAATCGCTTGAACCTGGGAGGCAGAGGTTGTAGTGAGCCAAGATCGTGCCACTGCACTCCAGCAAGGGCGAAAGCAAGACTTCATCTCAAAAAAAAAAAAAAAAAAAAGAATTAGACTCGTTAAAACCCTATGTTACAGCAGAGCCAATATAGCAAGACCCTGTCTCTACAAAAAAATTAAAACTTTGCCAAGTGTGGTGGCACATGCCTGTATTCCCAGGTACTCAGGGGGCTTAGGCAGGACGATCACTTAAGCCAGTGAAGTGGAAGCTGCAGTGAGTTATGATTCTTCCACTGCACTCCAGCCTGGGCAACAGAGCAAGATTCTGTCTCACAAAACAAAAACACGCAAACAAAAAAAACCTCTATGTTATACAGATATTAAAAGGGACAAGACATCCCTGAATACATCTGGTGCTCTAATAAAGAAGTTACCTTCCTCTGCACTCCCAGAATACCAATTTAACATTATCACTGTACTCACAGCCTTGTATTTAATGGTCTGTGATTTAATTCTTGTGTGTATCCTGACGGCTAATACTATCTTCAAATCTCTAGGACCAAGAAGGGCCTGGCCTCTTTATATAGGTTTAGTTGAATGCTCTTTGAAAATAAAAAGCCTTTTTTTTTTTTTTGAGGCAGGGTCTCACTTTGTCACCCAGGCTGGAGTACAGTGGCATGATCTCGGCCTACTGCAGCCTTGACCTCCCAGGTTCAAGTGATCCCCCTACCTCAGCCCCTCAAGTAGCCTGGACTATAGACAAGTGCCGCCATGCCTGGCTAATTTTTCTATTTTTTGTAGAGACGGGGTCTTGCCATGTTGCCCAGGCTGGTCTTGAACTCCTGAGCTCAAGCAATCTGACTGCCTCAGCCTCCCAAAGTCCTAGGATTATAGGTGTGAGCCACCGTACCTGACCAAAAAAAAGCGCCATTTTTTAATAAGTAAAAAATCTCTACCTCCAAAAGCTGATATGATATATTGGGGGAAAAAAATTATCTGTTTCTCTTAGACCTGCCTCCATTTTTTTTTTTCTTTGAACAAATTAGATGGTGTTTTATGCTAGCAAGGTCACTTCTCTCATAGATGTCTAAATCTAAAAGAATGTGATATAACGGGAACAAAAAGGTATTCATGCTTTTCTCAGTCTTCCTCAGGCTGAGAAAGTTTCATACAGGAGTAACGTTTTTGAATTTGACCATAAAAGAATTTTTATCATTCTCTTTTTCTCTAGGAATAATAAATAAAATAAAAGAGATTGGGAGAGAGAGGTACTGAACAAATCATAAAGTTAATGTACCTTTTACATAAGGAGTTTGAAATCAACCTAAAAGTAACAGAGATCTAAGACATAGAGGGACAATATCAAATAAGATAACTGGGTTATAGAGAGCTCATTCAGAAAATGAGGGAGAGAATAGGTTGGGTAGAATCAAAAGGGCTGGGGAAGCAAATGGGTAAAGTCTTTATCAAATGAATAATCAAGCTTTAAGGTTTCTGGCTTACAACGATGGTGCTGTCATTCCCTGGACAAAGAATATTAAAGTACAGGATTTCATTGGGAATATTAATTGATTGAAAATATAATTTGTTACACTTGAAGCTAACAGAATAAACTATTAGGCTTTTAGTTCTAAGTTATTTGTTCGCTAAGTGATAGCAAGAAAGAACTGCTACAACTCTAGTCAATTATGTACTAACTTAAACTGTTATCTCAGTGTTATGGGTGCTCTATTTCACCTCTATTTCCAGACTATAAGGGCATATTTTCTACTTATTTTATCTCCCTTCTTAGTACTTAGCACAATGCTACTCACAGAGTAGACACGCTGTAATTCTGAATTCTATGAAGTTAAGACATCTTTCTATAGAGTCATCACTATTCTCAACTTTCTCTGCAGCAGAAATAAATTTAAAACATTATGATAATATTTTATTAAACAGTTCATCAAAGTCAATAAAAATATTTAAAATTTAAGTTATATGCTAACCTGGAGAGCATGTTTCATTTTGCGATATAACTTCAGACTCATCTTTTTCACCTGAAATATCCTCTTCATCAGAGAGGACCAGAAATGCTTCTTTTGGCAAACTCTCACTACTTTCTTGTTTAGATGGTGAACCAAAAGAACTTTCCATTTTCTCTTCCAAATCTGGATTTGTCTCATCGATTGGAAGGAGAGATGTTTTAGAAAAGCAAGTAAGTTCATCCTCAGAAGGTGCAAGCTTTTCCAAAATAGGAATGATTTCATCTGTCTCCATAGAGTCTGTATTTTCTAAGATATTCTCACTTTTGTCATCTTCAGTAACATTTTCACTAATGGTTTCTACAAGATCTGCAGAAGTTTCATCTTCATTCTTTTCACCTTGGTCAATTTCCATACTGCTAGATATAGCATCTTCTCCAAGAGCAAGCTCTGTAGTATCTTCCTCTACCTTCTTTTCATTTTCAGGGGGTCGATCTGAACAAATAGTTGTATCATCTGTTTCTAGAGTTTCTTCATTAGCATCAATATTATTATCAGCATTATTTTTCTCATCCAATGAGTCTTTACTCTGGATTTGCTCTAATTTTTCATCAACCCCATTTTTTTCAAGAAAATCATCATCTTTATTGCTACTTGGTTCTATATTGTCAATTTCAGGAACTGGTTCACAAACTGGTACAGTATTTGGTTCAAAGGTACGATCGAAGGCTGATTCAGAAGTCAGCTCATCAGAGGCCAGTTCACCAGTGGCTAAATCATCAGAGGCCAATTCACTAGAAGATAGATCACCAGAGGCCAGATCATCAGGGGCTGGATCAGTGGAAGCTGGTGCTCCAGAAGCCAGATCAACAGAAGTTATTTCACTAGAGGCTATATCATCAGCGGCACAATCACCAGAAATGGGTTCAACAGGGACCGGTTCACCTGGGATGGGATCACCAGAGGTGGGATCACCAGAGGAGAGATCATCAGCGGTGGCATCACCAGAGGTGACATCACCAGAGGGGACATCACCAGAAGGGGCATCACCAGAGGTTGCATCACCTGAGGCAGCATCACTAGAGGAGGGCTCACTAGAGGTGGGATCACCAGAGGTGGAATCACCAGAGGCCAGTACTCCAGAGGTTGGATCTCCAGCATCTAGATCACCAGTGGCTGGATCACCAGAAACTGGTTCAGCAGTCAGTTTAGAGTCTGGTTCTGGAGATATGTTATGGGGAGACAAAGGTTCACAATTTAAATCATCATCCTGCTTGTTTTTTACATTAACACTTAGGATACAGGGTGTTTCTTTCCATTCTGTTTTACTTTCTTCAGGATCAAGACAAATCTCTTCAATGCCATTCACCTCTTCCTTGTCTTTAATGTAATCCATATTTTCCAAAGGTGAGGTTGGGTCCAAATCTCCATTTTCATGGTTGCCATTTAACAGCTTGACATCAGTTTTCAACAGTTCTTCTTTGACCTTGTACACGGCTTCAAGTTGCTGACGATCACTCACTCTCATCGTTTTTCGAGCCTTAAAGACTTTCTTCTGAGGTTCTTCTAAACTGTCCATTTTGAATCTTTAAGAAAAAAGAGAAAGAGCATTTAATAACTGAAACAGTAGCCACCAAATTGTAGGCTTAATACAAATTGATCTTAGAAGAGATGCAAGCAGCACACCTCACATAATGTTTAAATAAAGACATAGAAAACCTACTGCTTGTGTATACTGATTTTCATATTTACTGCATCTGTGTAATACAAAATCAAAAATGACTATAGTCTACTAGAAAATCAACTAGGAAGTATTGGGGGAAAAGGGACAAGTTTTCATTTTCAATATGGAATTCACAGAGTATAGAGATGTATAAGCAAAAAAAAGGTAGATAAAGTAAAAAAAAAAAGTACCTGAAGAAAATGAGAAAGAAAAATAAAAGTGGAAGAACAAAAACAGTAGGGAAATAACAGGTATAGAGATAAAGGAAAAAGGAGGAAGAATTAAGAAACATGTAAGGAAAGATTACATTTGCAACCAAGCATACTTAGATTGGCAGAACTATAAGCATATTAACAAAAGATTACCATCAAGAAAGAGAATTCACAACAATGGGAGAAAACATTTGCAAATCATATGCCTGATAAAGGACTTTTATCTCGAATCTAGACTTTCATATCTAGAATACAGAACATATATTTATATAGAATAGACTTTTATATCTAGAATACATAAGAACTGCTGTAATTCAATAAATCAAATAACCCAATTTAAAAATGGTCAAAGGACTTGAACAGACATTTTCAGGAAAAGACCCCTAAGCCAAAAGTCCGTAAGCAATAAACATCATTAGTCATCAGTGAAACGCAAATCAAAACTACAATGAAATAACACTTCATACAAACCAGGACAGCTACAATCAATGAGAATAATGAGTGTTGGCAAGGATGTGAAAAAACTGGAACTTTCATACAATGATAGTGGGACTGCAAACAGGTGCAGTTGCTTTGGAAAACACGCAGTTCCACAGTATGTGAAATATAGAGTTGTCATATGACCCTGCGATTCCATTCCTAGGTGTATACCCAAGAGAAATGAAAACATGTCCACACAAAAACTTGTACACGAATGCTCTATAGAAGCACTACTCATAATGGCCCAAAACTGGAAACAACCTGAATGTTCTATGACTGATGAATGGAGAAATAAAATGTGGCATACCCATACGACAGAATATCATTCAACCACAAAGGAGAATGAAGTACTGAACATGCTACTGCATGCATAAACCTTAAAAATATGCTGAGTGAGAGAAGCCAGTCACAAAAGGCCACATACTGAATGATTCAATTTATATGAAATGTCCAGAGTAGGCAAATCTAGAGACAGAAAGTAAATCAGTGACTACCTAGGGTTGGAAGGTTCTGGAGAAAATGAGGAGTGGCTGCTAAAGGGTACAGGATTTCTTTATGGGGTTATGAAAATGTTCTAACATTGATTATGGTGATGATTATACAGCTCTGTGAATATGCTAAAAATTACTGAATTGTACTTTAAATGGGTGAATAGTAGATATGTGGTTATATCTCAGTAATGCCACTACAAAAAAAATTTTAAAATAAATACAAAGGTTGTGTGTGTGTGTGTGTATTCTTCTCTTTTTTTGGTAAGTTGTGCTACAGTTTTATCAATTCTATTCACTTATTAAAGTATGAACCTTTACTTGGCTGATATTTCTTAGTTTTACATCTGCTTTCTTATTTTAATTATTTACTCTAATATTTATTATTTCTTTTCTCTTACTTTTTCTTGGAAAGAGTTTAACATGCCATCCTTTTCCTTGAGATTCAAGCTTAAGTGTTATTTTCAATCTTTCTTCTTTTGCAATGTGTGCATATAAAACTATAAATTTCCCTCTAAGAGCTACTTTAGTTGCATCTCACATTTTCATGTGTCATTTACATTATTCTGTTAAAATATTTTCTAATATCCATCATGATTCTTCTTTCATCTATGAGTTATTTAGAAGTAGGCTTTTTTAAAAGGTAATGAATTCTGACCAAGTGAAGCTTACTTAGAAAAATATAAGGCCGATTTCACATTCGAAAATCAAGCAGTGTTGACCATGAACAAGCCATGATGCATTCTGACTTTATTTCACACCCAGCAGAGTGTACAATTATGAGTTTTGCCTAAACTGAATGTCTGGTACCAGGTTGTTACTGACTGAATTGTGCAACATTCCACACCCCACCACATCCCCAGAAAGATATTAGTCTTAAGCCCCAGTACCTCAGTATGTGATCTTATTTAAACAGGGCCTTTACAGTGGTAATCAAGGTAATATAAGGATACTAAAGTGAGCCCTAATCCAATACAATTGGTGTCCTTATAAAGGGAAAATCTGGACACAGACAGACATACATACTGGGAGAATGCCACGTGACGATTGAAGTTATGGTACCCCAAGCCAAGCAACTACCAGAAGCTAGGAGAGAGGCCTGGAACAGATCCTTCCTCAGCACCTTCAGAGGGAGAATGGCAGTGACAACACCGTGATTTCAAATGCATTGCCTCCAGAACTCTGAAACAATACTGTTAAGCATGAAAGAAAACCACAAAACAAATCAAGCTACTTAATTCACCACATAAACAGAACAGAGGGACAAAATGAACAAAGGATTACCTCAACAAATACAGAATATTCATTTGACAAAATTCAAGACTGATGAATAATTACAACTCTCTGGAAACTAAGAATACAAGGAAACTTACTCAAATCTGATAAAGGTCATCTACCAAGAAAACAGAGGTATCATGTCTGACATTGAAACAGGATCAGAAAAAAACAAGGATGTTTCCTGTAACCATTTCCATGTTAACATCTGGCCAGTGCAATAAAGGCAAACAAAAGAGCACAAGGATGTGGTTCTGAAGAAAACAATGTCATCAATCAACAGTAGAATAAAACAAAATACCTTTAAGGACTAAGATGTATAGGAGGCAGGAATACTGTTTTAACATTGGATAGTCACTTACCATTACCATCACCAGTAGGAATGATATGGTAGAATACATTTGCTTTGGCCTGAGAAAGAAAGAAATGCAGCCCCTGATGTCTGAAAACTTAACTGACACTCACAGTTAGGACTCAATGTTGTTAACGGATCTGATGCTTACGGTTAAGCCATGCTGTTCTCTGGTTGGACATAAAACCAACTCAGAGAACATTCAAGTCAGACAAGGTCACTGTGCAACCCACAAAATTCCAAACATCCCCCCTCACTAAATAAGTGATGGCTACTTCTTTATCAGTTACAGCTTTATCTTATAATAGTCTGTCCTCCCTATATAGATAACATTTATTGAGATACCCAAGTATAGAAGTGCCCCAACTTTCTGATGCCACCCAATCCACGATAAGGATCTACTTCTTTAATCTCTCCCCAGAGTAACCCAACCTATACTATACTATACTCAAATCCTATACTAGCTTTTTTCTAACATCCTCTTACTGACTGATGTGCCTTACAGTTTTCCCATAGTGAACATTATTTCCTCCCTGCAACAAATAGTAAACCTAAGTTGTTCAATTACAAAGGTGTTCCTGCTGATCTTTGGCTAAAGGGCATAAAACAATAAGCCTAGCCTATTTGCTGGAGGCCAGTTCAGCTTGAGATTCTACCACCTTGTCAGAGAATTTCTAGACTGTGATACATTCTGTATTCATTCTCTCATTTTGAGCCAATAACTTAGAACATGTCTTATTCTAGCCATTTTATTTATATAACTAAATATTTAGGAAAATTACTCTTCATTTAAACAGAAACCTTAATACAAAATTATAATAGACACTATGTTAAGGATTTTTAATTACAGACTAAAATTTCACACCTTCAAGGTTTTTCCCTTCCCATCATTACAGTTATTTTCTAACTGCAAAATTTTCTGCAAAAAGATACATATACAATGCATTGTATTTTGCTGTCACTTTTCCTTACTAATTCCAAAACTACAAAATAATTAAATTTATAATATAAGTAGCATAGTTACCCTGTAAGTATTTCAAAATACTGAAAGGCCATTCTTTTGAATTTAGCCTTATAATATCCACATCTCAGATATTATATGGATAGCTGCTAGTTATTACCAATTGCATTAAAAGTAAGTATTCCTTTTAAAAAATTCATAACTTTTAATAACCCAATTAAGAACATGAACTCTTACATTAAAAGTAAGCATTCCTTTAAAAAAAGTCATAACTTGTAATAACCCAATTAAGAACATGAACTCTGTAGACTGTAGACAAATTCATAGATTTGAATTCCAATTTTTCCAGGAAACCTACTGTGTGAGACTGGGCAAACTAACATCAATTTCTTAGTTTTGGCTACCTTAAAAAGGGATGAATACCAACACCTGTCACAAAGGTTGCCATGAGAACTAAATGAGATTCTATACATTAAGCACTTGGAATGTAGTAAGAACTCAATAAATGTTATAACCATCACCATCTATATATTCAGGATAATGTTTTTAGGAATACACTAAATATTCAGGATAATGTTTTTAGGAATAAACTAAAGAGTCTGAGACAAATTCCCCTTTGGTATTTTACATATAAATTAGAAAATCCAACATGTAAACCTCACATTTAATATTAAATTGCCACCACCAAATAATATTTAATAAAAATATATATAATTTAAGAAAAGTTGATTTTATCAATAAAATTGCCATTAAGTTCAGTAATAATAAAGCATTCTAAAAAGAATTACAGAATAACTACCATCCATACCCACAAGGGAGCACACTACAGCCATTTACCGGATCTTATGAGTTCTAAACATAATAAAAAACAGACAAAGCAATAAGGAAGTAGCATGAACAATTAGTTCAAACTAGTTCAGCCATATCTGTACAAACCAATCAGCAGTCTGCTTTCAGAAATGTATTTTGCATTAGCAAAGCATATTTAAGAAAGATACACGTTAAAGAAGGGTGTGTTACCTGCAAACAAGTTTCCATGGCTGTAATACCACAGCAAAACACTTCCAAGGATCATTTTAGTACTGTCACCTAGAA